GTTAAATGGAGAAGTCAATTAATTAATTCTAAAAGAATTTTTTTTTTTCTTAGTTAAAGATTCGCCGGTATTCTCCTGGCCCGGGCCTTTTCCAAGTGGTGGCCCGGCCTTGGCTCCCTCTTTAGGGAGTGTCTGAGACCTAAGTCTCACATGGGAGGAGGCACAAGTACCTCCTCATCTTTGGGACCAACTGTCCCCAGGCCTAGCCACAAGCTAGGCCTCTCTGGTCTGCCATCCCCGCCCCAAGGGGGTAAATGGGAATGACAGTCTTATGAGCTAAAGGCTCGGGCTCAGGCACCTACCCTACCCTAGAAGGGTTAGGCATGGTGTCGATGTTTTTTTTTTTTTTTTCTTGACGACATACGTAATTATCCCATAATAATTTTTAAAAGACATCATACAGTATTATTATGTTATTATACTTTTATATTCAAAGCTACTATTTTGTAACTTATATATTATTAAGTAAGATCATAAATGTTAAAAGGTGGTAATAAAATTTAAATACATTAATTGTAATTACAATAGCATTTTTTACGACAGAAATCTAATGACCGATAATTATTTTACGGAAAAAAACGGTCAAATTTGTTCTTCTTTTATCTGTTATTGATTTTGATGCTGTTATTATTTTGTTATTGATAACAATGTCCTTATAGCCTTGTTATTCATGCCTGTCTTTATTTCAGTTGTTTGTTTCTCCCTGTCTTTATTTCACAATTATTATGTTCCCTTTTTTGGGTCTGTTGTCTGTGCGTTGCTTTTATTTTCCTATTGTCGACATTTTCACTTCATTTTGTTTTTCTTGTTGAAGCCTACTCATCTACTGCAGCCTACTCATCTACTGTAGCCTACTCATCTACTGCAGCCCACTCATCTACTGCAGCCCACTCATCTACTGCAGCCCACTCATCTACTGTAGCCTACTCATCTACTGCAGCCTACTCATCTACTGTAGCCTACTCATCTACTGCAGCCTACTCATCTACTGTAGCCTACTCATCTACTGCAGCCCACTCATCTACTGTAGCCTACTCATCTACTGCAGCCTACTCATCTACTGTAGCCCACTCATCTACTGCAGCCTACTCATCTACTGAAGCCCACTCATCTACTGCAGCCTACTCATCTACTGCAGCCCACTCATCTACTGCAGCCTACTCATCTACTGTAGCCTACTCATCTACTGCAGCCCACTCATCTACTGCAGCCTACTCATCTACTGTAGCCTACTCATCTACTGAAGCCCACTCATCTACTGTAGCCCACTCATCTACTGCAGCCCACTCATCTACTGCAGCCTACTCATCTACTGCAGCCTACTCATCTACTGCAGCCCACTCATCTGCTGCAGCCTACTCATCTACTGTAGCCTACTCATCTACTGCAGCCCACTCATCTACTGTAGCCTACTCATCTACTGCAGCCTACTCATCTACTGCAGCCCACTCATCTACTACAGCCCACTCATCTACTGCAGCCTACTCATCTACTGTAGCCTACTCATCTACTACAGCCCACTCATCTACTGCAGCCTACTCATCTACTGTAGCCTACTCATCTACTGAAGCCCACTCATCTACTGCAGCCCACTCATCTACTGTAGCCTACTCATCTACTGTAGCCTACTCATCTACTGAAGCCTACTCATCTACTGCAGCCTACTCATCTACTGCAGCCCACTCATCTACTGTAGCCTACTCATCTACTGCAGCCCACTCATCTACTGCAGCCTACTCATCTACTGTAGCCTACTCATCTACGGAAGCCCACTCATCTACTGTAGCCCACTCATCTACTGCAGCCCACTCATCTACTGTAGCCTACTCATCTACTGCAGCCCACTCATCTACTGCAGCCTACTCATCTACTGCAGCCTACTCATCTACTGAAGCCCACTCATCTACTGTAGCCCACTCATCTACTGCAGCCCACTCATCTACTGCAGCCTACTCATCTACTGTAGCCTACTCATCTACTGCAGCCCACTCATCTACTGCAGCCTACTCATCTACTGTAGCCTACTCATCTACTGAAGCCCACTCATCTACTGTAGCCCACTCATCTACTGCAGCCCACTCATCTACTACAGCCCACTCATCTACTGCAGCCCACTCATCTACTGCAGCCTACTCATCTACTGTAGCCCTACTCATCTACTGAAGCCCACTCATCTACTGTAGCCCACTCATCTACTGTAGCCTACTCATCTACTGAAGCCCACTCATCTACTGTAGCCCACTCATCTACTGCAGCCTACTCATCTACTGCAGCCCACTCATCTACTGCAGCCTACTCATCTACTGCAGCCCACTCATCTACTGTAGCCCACTCATCTACTGCAGCCTACTCATCTACTGTAGCCCACTCATCTACTGCAGCCTACTCATCTACTGCAGCCCACTCATCTACTGCAGCCTACTCATCTACTGTAGCCCACTCATCTACTGCAGCCTACTCATCTACTGCAGCCCACTCATCTACTGCAGCCTACTCATCTACTGTAGCCCACTCATCTACTGTAGCCTACTCATCTACTGCAGCCCACTCATCTACTGCAGCCTACTCATCTACTGCAGCCCACTCATCTACTGCAGCCTACTCATCTACTGTAGCCCACTCATCTACTGCAGCCTACTCATCTACTGCAGCCCACTCATCTACTGCAGCCTACTCATCTACTGTAGCCCACTCATCTACTGCAGCCTACTCATCTACTGCAGCCCACTCATCTACTGCAGCCTACTCATCTACTGCAGCCCACTCATCTACTGCAGCCTACTCATCTACTGTAGCCCACTCATCTACTGCAGCCTACTCATCTACTGTAGCCCACTCATCTACTGCAGCCTACTCATCTACTGCAGCCCACTCATCTACTGTAGCCCACTCATCTACTGCAGCCTACTCATCTACTGTAGCCCACTCATCTACTGCAGCCCACTCATCTACTGCAGCCCACTCATCTACTGCAGCCCACTCATCTACTGTAGCCCACTCATCTACTGCAGCCTACTCATCTACTGCAGCCCACTCATCTACTGCAGCCTACTCATCTACTGCAGCCCACTCATCTACTGTAGCCCACTCATCTACTGCAGCCCACTCATCTACTGCAGCCTACTCATCTACTGCAGCCTACTCATCTACTGCAGCCTACTCATCTACTGCAGCCCACTCATCTACTGTAGCCCACTCATCTACTGTAGCCCACTCATCTACTGCAGCCCACTCATCTACTGTAGCCCACTCATCTACTGCAGCCTACTCATCTACTACAGCCCACTCATCTACTGTAGCCCACTCATCTACTGCAGCCCACTCATCTACTGTAGCCTACTCATCTACAGCAACCTACTCATCTATAGCAACCTACTCATCTACTATAGCCTACTCATCTACAGCAGCCCACTCCTCTACATCAGCCTACTCATTTACTGTAGCTTACTCATCTACAGCAAACTACTCATCTACTGCAGCCTATTCATCTATAACAGCCTACTCTTCTATTGCAGCCTACCCATTTACTAAAGTTTTTGTAGAGCCTATTCATCGGGTTCAGCTCTTGTTGCAGCCTGCCTATCTACTGTATGTCTTGGTGGAAGCCTAGTCCTCTACTGCACGTTACTGTGGTTACCTACTCATCGACTACAGTGTTCTACAGGAGCCTACTCATCTATTGCAGTGCACAAATACACAAATAACTCGCACGCAGGACAGAGAGAGAGAGAGAGAGAGAGAGAGAGAGAGAGAGAGAGAGAGAGAGAGAGAGAGAGAGAGAGAGAGAGAGAGAGAGAGAGAGAGAGAGAGAGAGAGAGAGAGAGAGAGAGAGAGAGATTGTCTTACTGCGACGTTTCGGTCTGATTTGGACCATTTACAGATATTGTTCCAGTCACGATATTGTGCCTCTTTGTTCTCTGTCTACTGCATTTTTGCCTGGGAGCCTACTCACTTGCATTTTTTTCATGGAGCCTACTCATTTGCATTTTTTCATGGAGCCTACTCATTTACCGTAGTCTGTCCAACACAGCATCAACGGTAGCCTACTACATTGCTCTTTTGCTCCATAAATTCCTGCCATCGTCGGGTGTTTCAAATATATGCACCCAGTTTCAAAGCAATATATACTGAAATTGGATCATGTATTTGAAACACCCGTATATACTTCCAAAAATCTTCGTTTCCTTTTATACTCTGCGCGAGGCCAGCCTTATCACGCCCTCTAATATTTGTGATTATTTTCTTACTTGCTGTAGTATCGAACTAAAATTATTTTCTTATATATATACGTATATATATATATATATATATATATATATATATATATATATATATATATATATATATATATATATATAATATATATATATATATATATATATAATATGTGTGCGTACTCACCTATTTGTGGTTGCAGGGGTCGAGTCATAGCTCCTGGCCCCGTGTGTGTGTGTGTGTGTGTGTGTGTCTGTAGTTGAATTAGGCCACAAAGAAGCAAAAATTAGGTTAGTGTGCATATTTTTGTATCACTTGTATCAATGATGTACCAAAATAAACCACCTTTTGGAAAATCATTTTCTTTTTTTTGTGGTGGTTGTATTGTGTCACTGGAGCAAATTTCCCGCTGACTGTCCTGGTTGGTATCCCCCCCAGGGGTTCTCTCCCCTCCCCTCCTCCCGCAGGGGTTCTCTCCCCTCCCTCAGGGGTTCTCTCCCCTTCCCCTGGGTTGCAACACTCAATCTCAATGCCAACCAACGCCATATTAACTCCATTATTTTATTAGTACGTACTTTGTTCAGCATTTATTATGTGTTCAACGAAGATGTTCTCTACTGGAGCGGTGGTTCTTGAGAACTGTGTGATCTTTATATTAGTTAAACAGTGCAATAATGTGGTAAGAGGTTGAAATAGTAAGGGACCCAGATGGTCACCTGAGGAACTCCAGCAGCGCATGCGCGCGACGGGGTGGCCCTGGCGCAGCGCAGTATATAAGGGCGCGCAGGTGCAGAAGTCGGCATATCAGGTGTCCTCACTCGATCAACGGTATCAACACTTACAGGTAAGACCCCTCTGCCTGCCATATTATAAGTCACATAAGTAAACAGTAATGCAACTCAAAATACAAACAGTGCGACTGATATGTTAATACATTCCATACTTGCAGTGATTAGATTGAAAAAATACGTAAATCTCTAACGTTGAATGTCAGCGAGATTGATTCTCAATACTGTAACATTTGTGTTAGTTAAGATTATAAGGTTTTAATTAAAACAATGGATATATATTTGTTTTATTATTATTACTGACTCACGAAATCGTAATAACACGACTGAAAACAAATCACACAAGGGGTAGGACTCGACCCATGGGAAGCTCATCTTACAACTCGCAGGGCACTGCGTTAACACACTGGCCGAGTGGTTAACACAGTATGGGTTCAAATCCCACCCGTTCCCTGGTTTGAAGTTTCTCATGTGCTTTATCGGTCACTGATAATATCACGTTCATGTTTTATATCAGGTTTCTTGGGAAAGGTCAGTTATTACATGGAATATGAAAGTAGCTCTATCCAGTTTTCAACGAGTATCAAACATGAGAGTATTGTTGTTGAGTGTGTGTACTCACCTATATGTGGTTGTAGAGGTTGAGTCACAGCTCCTGGCCCCGCCTCTTCGCTAGTCCCTAGATTATTATAATCAAAAAGAAGCGCTAAGCCACAAGGGCTATACAGCCCTAGTCCCTAGAAGGCCCGCTCCCTGCTCCAAGAGGTTTATCGTGTGTGTGTGTGTGTGTACTCGCCTGATTGTGGTTGTAGGGGTCGAATCATAGCTCCTGGTCCCGAATATTGTGTGTGTTGGGGGGGGGGGTTTGCAGGGGAATTGAACTGGTGCCATAAATTCTGAACTTTTTGCTGTACTAACAATGGTGTAGTGAGTCAGAGTTGGAATGTCTTACATCAGAGTCGATCCTCCGTAATCAATGGTAATAGAATTTCTTTTTGAATGGGGGAATTTCAGGCGAATAATGGGTAAAAAAAATCTTTTTTCAATATACAAACATTACCGAGTATCACAATCATCACTGCTAAAGTCATTACGAGCAATTACCAATTATTATTATAATCATGGGGGAGCGCTAAACCCAACAACTGCCAAAAAAAAGCTGGTCTATATAAACAAAAAATATCATATTTAAGTAGATATAAAATTAAATAAGACACAAGAATGCAGCAAACGTTACAATACATAACCCAACATTTCTACTAACATAGTTATATACTCATAAAATGCATCAGGGTAAACCAGTGGAAGGCCTCGATCAGATGACCAAAAGCTCCCGCTGCGTCAGGAAACACTTGTCCTGTTTCCTGACGAACCTGACCTGACCTCTAAGATGAGAAGATAGTTCTGTAGGGGACAGAGATCCTTACTGCAGAGTCAGTTTAGAGACGGGCAGACCAGCAGGGAACTATCTATCCATGGCCTCTGGTGTAAGTTTGTTTAAACAAGCCACAGGTACACATAAGTACAGTTATAATGCATAGTGTAAATTACCTAGGATAGCCAAAAAAAAAGGTCAATCCAAGTGACTTATTTTTATTGGGACCATTGATTTATTCCATTGATGTGTTTAAAGTTACGTGAGTTCTCCCCCACGTATAAGTCACTCCACCATACGTATACCAAATCACTCCCACATGTTCCGAGCACTAGAGCTCAACACTAACACTTAAACAACAGTGTACCTCAGATCTCAGGATTCACACTCTTCAGAAACGTTTCAGTATTAATATGGATTATTAAATACAAAAGCATAGTTAATCTGCTTAAGGAGTACTTTAATATATTAAGTAATAATCTGCGAATTTGCAAACTCAAGTTTCCTAAGTGAGATAACTTTAGTTTCTTAAATAAGTTAACTTTATGTGTACTGTGTAAGTTAGTGGACACCATAAATCCTTCTTTAATAAGGATTATTTGTGTATAAATTCTTCTTGTCGTAACTCGTAGTCCTTCATCATCAATGAAAGGCCATCATTATCCATGACAGGTTGCAATGACCTCATCTCATGGAATTACGAGTGGTGAGGTCACAATATTAGGGGTCAGTAGTTGGGTTACTTTCTACTCGGTTGCCTCAAGAACCTGTACCCGTCACCGCCCTCATGGCTCACTTTCCCTTTGACCCTTTTCAGTGAGAGTGATTGCTCGAGTCACATGACTATCCTAAATTATAATGAGTATTTTGAAAACAAGTTCAGTTTTTGCCCCTCCTACACTTGTTCTGCTCTCGCCATACCCTCAGTCGGGCAAGGGCCATTGTCTATTTCTAGCGACAGAAACAATGTAAGCAAGTTCATTTGGGGGCAGGTACACGTAAGTACGATTATCATATTATTATTATTATAATCAAAAAGAAGCGCTAAGCCACAAGGACTATACAGCACGATTATCATATATAGTGTAAATTCTTGGCTGGTGTTGTTGACAAGGTTAGGTGAAGCCTTTTAATGATCCTTGTGTAAGTGATAGGCTTTAAACATCATTAAACTATATTATTATTATTATTATTATAATCAAGGGGGAAGCGCTAAACCTGGAGGATTATACATTATTATAATCAAGGGGGAAGCGCTAAACCCGAAGGATTATACAGCGTCTAGAGGGGAGGGATGTGGAAGGCATTCAGGCTTAATTCGGGGAACTGGAGCACAGATCCAATTCCCTAAATCAAGAGCCCCTCACTAACATCAAGGAACCTTCCTTGAGGGGCATTAAACTATAGGAACATATTATTCATGATGAAGCTCTAAATCCATAAGGGAGACTGGGAGGTAATTAGGTGTGATCTGGAGATCAGGGCAGCTCCACTTCCTTGAATCAAGAGTCCTTCACCAGAATTAAGGCATCCTTTAAAAAGCAAGAGTACTGCAACTTAGTCTCGCTCTTAATTGTTACTTTTATAAGTGATTTTTGGTAATGTATTTATCTCTCCATTTCAGTCATGAAGAGTGTAGCGTTGGCATGTTTGTTCCTGGCTGTGGCAGTCATTGCCCAGGACAGTTACTACACCAGGAAGCTTCCAGCTGACAAGCTCAGAGGTCAGTGCTCCACTTACCTTCTACCAGTTCAGAATTCAATGATCAATTATTATATTCATAGGAAAGGTCTAAGCTCATAGGGATCAAATTTGTACCCTCAGTAATGAACATTCACCAGCATTAATTGTATCCAAGTTCTATATTTTGATTGTATAACTTTTAACAGTACAGAGTAACCATAGTTCCCTCCAGCCTACTTCGCAAATAAAAATGAATCTGTTGCATTACTCCACACACAGATACACTCATTCTGTTAATGGTCCAGGAGCATACATACACGCATTAATTTTTCATACTCCTATTTTCACGAGGCAAAACTTGAGCTATAACATTTGTGTTATTTCTCCACCAGATTTCCCTGGGATGTGCTTTGGGTCAACGACTTGCCGAGTGTACAAGGAAGGTGAGACGTGGCCCCTTGTGCCCTTCTGTGGCAATGCTACCTGCGTGAAGGAAGGTGAACAGCTGTTTGAGCAGGTCCAGGAGTGTCCCAGGGCTAAGCCCAACCCTGACTGTGAGGAAGTCCTGAGTGACCCTACACAGGTGCCATTCCCTGCCTGCTGTCCTACTTACACATGCAAGGAGGGCGTCACTGTTGCGTACTACACCCAGGCTGAGAATGAGGCCCTCATTGCAGAAGCTGCCAAGGCTGCAAAGGCTGCTCCCCCTGCAGAGGCTGCTCCCGCTGCATAGGTCTATGTGAAGAACTAGAGATGGAGGGCAGCTGCATCATGACCCTCCCTCCTTCAACACTACCTATACCATCCCTCAGATCATGCAATCTCCATTGCTTTCACTGTTGTATTAAGTCAATCGCAGCTGCAAACTGGCTAACCATATTAATATAGATCAACAACACAAATAAAATTATTTGAAACTGTTGGTGAAATGAGTATACTTAAGGTGGAGATGAGAGAGCAAGGACAGGCTGAGGACGCCTGGTATCTCCCCAGCAGCCCATGGCTGTCACCCCAGCAGCCCATGGCTGTCTACCCACATTATACCTTGTCTCACACCAAACAAATCTCTATACAAACATCGTCATGCACTAAACGTAACTCAAAATTTGTGTATTTGTTAGAAAACAAGAAAAAACATTGATATTTTCTTTATATGCAAATATTTTTTTTTTTTGCTATTTGCTGTTTTTTTTTTTTGAAGCCAGTTGTGATAACCATGATTTTTTTGACATCAATCATAATCTCTATGAACACCAAAAAAAGACAAAAATACAAATAAAAACATCTCCAAAATATATATTATTTTTTCCTATAGATACGTATTTTAAGAGAACTATTATAAGACAAAAAGTAAATTACAGTACAGTATATATATTGAAAAATTATTTATGTTTATTGTTAATGACACTAAGTCAGTCATTGTATTATCATTTGGAAGTGCTAAACCCATGAAGGTCATATATATGGTAGGAGGGGAGATAAGAGGTTGTCAGGTTTGATCCAAGTAAGGGAAGGACAGGTCCAATTCCTTGGCTCAAGAGCCCCTTACCGGTATCAACCATTTATTTATGAGCACTAAATCCATATGCTGGTCACATTTCTCTCCTTATAATACTGCTAGTCACAACTCGTTTCTCTCATAATACTGGTAGTTACAGCTCGTTTCTCTCCTTATAATGCTGGTAGCTCCAACATGTTTCCTTACAATACTGCTAGTCACAGCTCATTTCTCTCCATTATTATTATTATTATAATCAAGGGGGAAGCGCTAAACCCGGAGGATTATACAGCACCTGGGGGGGGGGGGGGATGTGGAAGGCATTCAGGCTTAATTCGGGGAACTGGAGCACAGATCCAATTCCCTAAATCAAGAGCCCCTCACCAACATCAAGGAACCTTCCTTGAGGGGTCATTTCTCTCCATATAATGCTGGTAGCTAAACCCACAACTCATTCAGCACTACATGGACAGAGGTAAAGGAGATGACTGAGGGGCAAAAGGGGGAGGGACTGAGGCAAGGACATCATCAAAAATAATGGGGAATAGGATGTGGGAGGTCACAGTTAATGTAGAAATGGACCGAAAGGTCATCATAAGCTCCTCTCTCCTATATGTGGGTTATTTGTGTGTTGTTTCAGTTATAGTATTGTGCCTTTTGTTCTTTTTAGACTTTGTAAGGGTGGTGAGGTGTGCTAAAGGAAGTATAATCAAAGGTTGTTTAATAAATGTGTTGCTGTTAAAAACTCAAAGAGGGAGTCCATGTCAAGGTGGAGCCATCAGTGAGAAGAAAAGGTAAAGAAAGTGAATGAATCAAGGTATCAGAATTGTTGTGCTCCTTTATGAATGAGACAATTGATACGTAACTGTTGGAGTGCCAGAGTGACCTGTTGATCATTGTAGAGTAGTGCTGGCCACCCTGTAGACTAGTATTCTTGATTAATACTATGTTTATAGAAAGCGTTAAACCTTTAAAGTTGTTCGTTTTCATTTTATTCAAAAATCACAAGAACCATTTGGTTATTTGGCACTTTAAACCTATTCTGTTTCTAACAGTATCAAATACAGCTTCTCCTCACTTAGAGTACTCATTTACTGATGACTCAGACTTACGACGGGCTCTCTCACCAGTATGCATACCTAAATAATGTATATTAGAGTTGATTTCCTCTATTCTGTTTATTACAATATACATACAGTACACTACTGTATAAACATTTAAAAATATACTAAAAATTTTATAAATGGTGCAATATCAAAGCTGGCTGATACAAACCCACTACCATTATAGTATGCTCCTTGCTTAGCAACAAATTTATTTACTGACACAGTCTTAGGAACGGAACTCCATCATTAAGTGAGGACAGGCTGTATACAGTGGAACCTGTTTTCATATACCCTAGTTGGAGACAATTCTTGGAGAAAACTCTCTACAAAATATATCTGGAACAGATTAATTGGATTTTCATTATTTCTTATGGGAAATATTGCTTCTGTTTTCGCACGATCGGTTTTCGTCAGACTTTTTTGAATGGATTAATCATGAAAACCGAGGTTCTACTGTAACATTATCAGTTTGCTACTGCTCTGACACATTAATGCTCATATTACATAAACCACAAGCATAAAGCAAGTAAACCTCTTCAAGGTCTATTTTTCACATTATGCAATCTACATCCATTATATATTTCATGTCATGGATTACAAGTGTTGGAAAATTTAGACAAAGTGGGAAAAAATCCCCATTATTTATGCCAAGAGATCCTAAACCTACATACAGTAGTATTTTTCAATTTCAAGTTAATAGTCACCTATCCTTCGAAGCTTTTTTTTTTAAGTTAATGCTTTTCTTGCATTCCTGGTCATATTCCTCTGCCCTAGTTTTGCTTCGTGTATAGTTTACATCCTTCCCTTCTACGGTAAATGTCTGCACCATTCCTCTCTCACTTCACACCTCATTTTGTAATGCAGGACACTCTGCCTGTACCCATGGCTCATATTGTACAAGTGCATTACCAAATAGATTTTAAAAAGAATATACTACATAATATACACTATAATGCCTGTCTGGAGTGATATCTGAATTGTCGTATCTGGGCGCCTCTGCAAAGACTGATTAAGTGTGAATGATGATGAGAGTGTTTCTTACTTTTTTGGGTCACCTTGCCTTGGTGAGAGATGGCCAACATTTTTTAAAAAAAATTCTTTATATGTCTATATGTAAACTTTTTTAACACATCAGCTATCTCCCACCAAAGTAGAGTAACCTAAAAAAAACTTTCATTGGCATTTATCGAATCACTGTCTTACCAGAAGCATGCCAGCATTACAGCTCAGATGACCTTCCACACTGCAGCATCCCCGACCCCTCCTTCCGAGTGCTTATGCTAATACTGCATACGCCGGCATATAAGTCAACTTTTTAAGCCAAGTATAAAAGCTGCTGATACATGGCAGAGGTGAAAATAAGGCCATGGCATATTATCATGTTAATATCGTAACTTACATCACAGTTGCAAATTTTATTTGTTACTTCTTACCTGTTGCATTTTTGTTGCCCAGACACACCTTTTTAACCCTTAAACTGTCCAAATGTAGATCTACGTTTTTTCAACATTTGAATGTAAAAAAAGTAGATCTTCTTTTCTTTTTTTACATTTGAAAACGTGTAAAAAAAACTTTGATCTACTTTTTTTTTTGTTATATTTCAAAATAAGTAAAAAAAGGAAAACTACTTTTGGAGCACTATGCATGCAAACATAGATCTGCTTGGACAGTTTAATTAAGGGTTAATAAAAGGAATGTCACATTTTACTAAAAATGCCTAAAACACCCCCCCCCCCCCAAAAAAAAAAAAAAAAAAAAAAAGCAAGAGAAAATAAGATGTACCTTTTCCTAATCTTCCCCTAATGGTCCAGGTCTTGGGGGAGATAGTGGGGTTGACCTACTGGGGGAATATAAGCCAAAACCTGCACAACACCTAAAAAATTTACGTATGCTGCCATATATGGTATGTGTAATTTTTCACCCTTTCAGGGTTTTTGACGTATTAGTATGGCTTACGCACCAGGGTTATTGACATACTAGTACGCCTAAATTCTAGCGCCTTCAAATCTAGCAAGAGAAAGCTGGTAGGCCTACATATGAAAGAATGGGTCTATGTGGTCAGTGTGCACAGTATAAAAGAAATCCTGCAGCACACAGTGCGTAATGAGAAAAAAAAAACTGACCGTAATTTTGGTTTAACCCTTTGACTGTTTTGGTCATATATATATGTCTTACGAGCCACCATTTTTGACGTATATATACTCATAAATTCTAGCGGCTTCAAATCAAGCAGGAGAAAGCTGGTAGGCCCACATGTGAGAGAATGGGTCTGTGTGCACCATATAAAAAAAATCCTGCAGCACACAGTGCACAATGAGAAAAAAAAAACTCCAACCGTTTTTTTAATTAAAATGCTGAATTTGTGGTCTATTTTCGTATAGTATTTATGGTTGTATTCTCATTTTCTTGGTCCCCTTTGATGGAATGGAAAACATATTATAGAAATAGAGGTGATTTTGATTGGTTTTACTATGAAAAGAACCTTGAAATGGAGCTCAAAGTAGGGGAAATGTTTGATTTTTGCCAATGTTCAAAAGTAAACAAATGATGTCATTTTCCAATAAATGTCCAGGTAGCCATTCTAATATGCAGTCATGAATGGGTTGACATTATTTATACAAATATTACAACATTGCAGTAGTCTGCATAACAGTAAATCTTCTATTTTTTGTTGTAATAAAAATTCAAAATAGAAAGCAAGAGTAATATCAGAGGGGCCTGGAGATGTGACTGATGAACAAAGAAAGTTATTTTAGAGCCAAGAATATCTGCATTGTTCATTCTGGACCCTTTTTTGAAATTGTCATATTTTTTAATTTTTGTGAAATTGGGCAAATTACAAATTTCTGACCACGTTATTGGGTAGTTGAAATCGGTAAATGGGCAGTTTCTTGTAATCAATCGACAGAAAAAATGGAATTCTAAAAAAATAGCAATGAGTTTGGTCGACTGGAACAATGGAATTAGCCGAAAATAGGGCTCAAAGTGGGCGAAATTGCCGATACGTAAATATTGCCGAGATTGCTAACTTCGCCAGAGCATAATTCCGTCAGTTTTCCATCAAATTTCATTCTTTTGGTGTCATTACAATCAGGAAAAGAGTCTCTATCATTTCATGAGAATTTTTTTTTTTTTTTTTTAAATTTTGCGACACCAAGACACACCTCAGGATTTGGGGTTGCGACAGTCAAGGGGTTAAAACAGCGACTTTGCACTGTATTTTCTTATGGTATTTATGGTTGTATTCTAGTTTCCCTGGTCTCATTTTATAGAATGGAAGACATATTACAGAAATTGAGATGATTTTGATTGGTTTCACAATGAAAAGTACCTTGAAATTGAACTCAAAGTAGCAGAAATGTTCGATTTTTGCCAAAGCTCAAAAGTAAACAAATCATGCCACGCATCCAATACACGTCAACTGGAAAGTCTAATATTCTTTCACAAGTGCGTTGATATTATTTATGCCCTTTCTACACTAATGAAGTAGTCTGCATATCAGTAAATCTTCTATTTTTTGTGAGAATAAAAATTCAAATTGGAAAGCAAAAGAAATGTAAGAGGGGCCTGTGGACGTGACTATTGAACAGAGGAGTTATTTTAGTGCCAGGAATGTCTTTCTTATTTATTCTAGACCCTATTTGGAAATTGGCATCTTTTGAAATTTGTGTGAAATTGGAAAAATTGCTAATTTCTGACCACTTTATTGGATAGTTGAAATCGGTAAATGGGTGGTTTCTTGTACTCATTCGATAGAAAAAATAGAGTTCTAGCGAAATAGTTATGATTTTTGTCGACAAGTACATTGGAATTGGCCGAAAATAAGGCTCAAAGTGGGCGAAATCGCCGATGCGTAAACACCATCGAGACCGTTAACTTCGCAAGAGCATAATTCCGTAAGTTAACCCTGAAAGGGTTAACTCGCTGGCCATCTCCTGCCAAGGCAGGAGAAAACACATTTACCATCATTCATTCAATCACAGTTTTTCAGAAGTGGAGCACATGCCAATCAGATTACCCTCCAATTAACATCCCCACCTCTAGACCTTCAGATTCCAAGCACAAACCATCCTACCTCCAGGATTCTTAGTCCAACGAACCAGTTTCCCTGAATCCCTTCATAAAAGCTACCCTGCTCATACTCCAACAGCACATCCATTAAAAGCTACACGTCTTCACTCACTCCCATCTAGCAAACTCATATAAACCAGCTGAATGCTTAAACCCCTAAAATTTGAGGCCTCTTTTATCCCCTCTCTCTAACCGGTTCTAGTAAAATCCCTACCCCATCTGCCTTCCACTCCAGATTTACACATGTACTTAAAGTAATTAACAATGCTCTAAATAAAATTAAAAATGAAGTGCTTACCTAAAATGCATGTTATTCCAGCACAAAATAAAATGAATATGTAACAAAATTGTGGTAAATAAAAGTCTTCTAAACAGGAAAACAAATATTTCTTGTATCTTGAAATGTTAGTTACAAGATAAACCATCATAAGCCCACAAGACATGTGTCCCAAGAGTTGAGGCTAGCAAGCCGTAAATTCCTCACAGCTCAGGTTAACAGTGAAAATATTGTTATGAAGCGATAAACTGAGCTGTTGAAAACAATTATCCGTCAAATGTTTGCAGCGTACAGGAAATCTAAAGCCCAACCAAATATCCATAGCAAAAGTGCAAGCCAAAACCTCTACAGAGAGTCATTACAGTAGAGAGAACCATCATCAAAATCAAAGGGTTTAAATAAATTTAAATATTAACAAACCCCATTAATAGGCTTGCAGTAACAATCTTATTTACAACAAGAATAAGCCTTTATGTCATAACTATGGATAATGAGCAGGAGTGTAGGTAAATTTAAGTTTATTAGTACTGATAAATTATTACGGTTAATGAGAATCAAATTGAAGTTGAGTATTCACCAAAATTCTGTGTAATTGCTCAATTACACGATAATAAATTATTGAAGGTAATATACGCTAACGAACAACACTGCAGAATTATATGAATACAGTAACAAGAAATTAGAAGTGCTAATAAAATATTTTCCAATAGAAAGCAATATCAGGATAAGCCTGTTTGATTATCTGGACAAACTCTTTATTGATGTCAAAATTGCCCTCAAATTTTGTGTTCCTCATTGATTAATTTATAAATATGAAATACAAATGCAATAGATTAAATATTACTTTATGAACTCAACAAGTGGAAAATGATGCTATGACTAATATCATCATCACATTAGTCATCAATTTAAATATGTATAACTAAAATTGTTATTTAAGAAATAAAAGGAAAGGATTAGGTTCTATTGAGAACAATGGTCTCCCTGAAGACTCTAAAGAGTGTTTTCCAAGTAATAAGCTTACTGATTCAACCACAAGAAAAGCTTTGTGATATACTGCATCAACAACCTACCAGTACAGTAACAGGATTCCGATACACATTAAGGTTGAGTTACAATTATTTTCCTAAATTTGATACATGATCTTTACACACAGCATGGACTGGTATTACCCATGAAAATAAAGCATCTCAAATTCTAGAATAAGGCTTTTTTTGTAACTGAGAATTTAGCCTTCATAGAGATCATCAGTCTCATTGCTGCAGTCGGAGAAACTCTTCGAATGCCTCGGCCACATCGCCTTCTAGTTCTTCTACTGCTGGTGACCACCTGAAAGATTATTATTATTATTACAATCATAACGAAGTACTAAACCCGTAAGGGTCCCTGAAGAAATATAATAGCTCAAATCGGTACAATGACAAACAGTCTTTCCATAATGAACACAAAAACAAGATGGGTTTGATGCTGACTTTGCAATTCAGAAGCTGATGCTACCTTACTAGGGAGCATGGGAAAAGATAAAAAAAAAAAAAAAAAAAAAAAAAGTTTCCAACCTGTTAATTTTCCTGTTCCATTACCTTCACACTACTACAGATTCTTTCCCAAATAAACTTAAGCTGGTATTTTTCTTACTGCTCAAGTGTAAATCCCTCACATAGTCAATAAAACATTAACCAAACAATCTTAATATTAACTTCCCATAGTGGCAACTACAAGTCACATGAATCCCATTTAATATTGCTAGATATAACATCTGAAAATTTATCAAATTACCAGCAAAAAAAAACATTCAAGTGTGTTATTGTCTAATTCCTAGATTTATCATGGTATCTTTCAGGTACTCCAATGCTAATCTTCTCTGTACACTTACCCAGAGTTAATAAAATCATCTGTGTCACTGGCAGAGTCTTCTGGCTCATCCTCAACTCTCTGGATCACTCCACCTGGTCCATAGTACACTGTTCCCATCTGAAAAGTACACATAGTAGAAAATACACAATGAGTACTGACAAGTATACATAGTAGGACATACATAATTACTACTGAGCAGTATACACAGTAGAAAGTGCACAATAACTATTGAGAAGTATACATAGCAAAAGTACTCAATGACTATTGAGAAGTATACATAGAAAGTACACAATGACTAACGAGAAGTATACACAGTAGAAAGTACACAATGACTACTGAGAAGTATTCATAGTAGAAAGTACACAATGATTACTGAGAAGTATACATAGTACACAATGACCAAAGCTTTTTGAGTGCTGTACATCCAGTGCTTTTAACCAAAAATGTTGTTAGCATTATTACTAATTTTTTAAACACACAGCCGTTTCCCTCCGAGGCAGGCAGGGTGGCCCAAAAAAGATGAAGTCTGAAATCTGGGACAAAATCCAATGGCTCAACCTATTAAAAAAAAATGGACAAAGTCCAGTGGTTAGAAAATTCTTTGTTATGATCACAGTAAAACAATCTCAACTCTAATCACTACAACTGCCATTACCAGCCACCCTTCAACTGAGGGTTTAGTAATCAAACAATTCTACGTCTATTAACCCAGTCCAGTCATAATTACAGCGTGTTCCAAGTCAAAGTTACAAGTTGCAGCAAATTTTGGTGGTGAGTCTCTGCCATTTATGCCAAAATATAGACCATTTAACTCTTCAGGTAGCGAGGTTGCTCTAACTCTACAACCATGTTAAAGTGACCCAACATCGGAGGGAAAAAGCACTATGATTCGTATCTTTGTCTTTATCAGAAATGAAAATGAGAGAGAATTTGGGCAAGTTCTTTACCTTGATGAAAAGAGATTTATACTGTAGGGGCCTCAAATTTTTACTTACTGATTACTGTATTATATTCGAAATACAGTTTTTTAGAAAACTGAAGGTCTACCTTCCCATATTTTCATTATTACATTTGCATACATTTTGTATGAGCTGTTGCACTATGACCGTAAATATTAAAATATGAATTTTTGCTTTTGCTCTGGCACATGCAAAAACATACAGCAATACAGCAATTATAGGAGGCAGGCACATCCTGGTTGTCTGTCTGTAAAAATATTGTAAAATTACTGCACCTCTGATTATCAGATACCATATATAACTGACATGTTTCCCTTTTTTACAATCATCACCACTCAAATTAAATTTAGGCTTCTCTAACCGTGCTAACATATTTTGGCATTAACCACAGTACTCTAGATCATACTTTCCTCTACCATATATCTCAAACTAATATACTATCCCCTTAATTCTATATCTATTTATCTCTGTCCACTTTTCACCATTTTAAATACAATTTTTATATTAAGAAACTAAAACTGGTTTACTCTTACTCTTTCATAACTAATCCAAAACTTTCATGGCTACTATTTCATTATCTAAGTTTCCCTTTATTAATTTTTTTTATTCAAATGGTATCTAACAATCCTATTTTCTAAATTATAGTGAACACCAATGATGTTTCTTCCTGAACATACATTTGTAATCATTGACATTTTTCTCTTTCTCAAGCAATTGTTTTCTATTAGCTGGGTAAATAAGGATACAAAATGACATAATAGAATACTGTAATGCTGTTTTATGACAAAAAAAGTAAAAAATTGGTATACATACAGGAATATTGGAATGAGTGGGTGTATCACCAGGAGAGTGAGGTGGAGATGGTGGACCACGACCCCAGTTGGCAGCTCTTAACTCTATGACAGCTAGTAGGAGAGACCGGGTTCCAGTGGACACCGGAGCAGTCATGGCAACATCCTTCAAGTTACACATTAGCTGGTCCATTTCATTTCTGTTGCTACTGTCCAAATTACTACCTGTGAACTGAAAAAGTGTAAAGTTAGTTTGCTCATTTCAGAAATTTAAATTACAAGAATCTCTTTTTCACCAAGAGCTGGAAGGATTTAACAGCCAAAACATGATCATCAGTAGCTGAAATTCCTATACAAACTTATATAATTGTTTCCTTTACTTGGTAATAGTGGTCTTTTATGACTTGATATGCTGCTGAAAGCCCTAAAGAGATGAGGAGTTAAAAGGATTTCACCCGCCATGATTAGAATCTCTGCTTCTTAACTAGGCAAAGACGGGTTTAATCCACATGATTCCTCCTCAGCCTCTTCCTCAGTTTGTTGTTTTCAAGAGCATGTAAGGTTAAATAGTTTTTACAAGAAGAGTGAAACATACGTTTAATTGTTGCCATTTTTTTAAAGCACTGGTCATCTTCCACTGAGGTAGTGTGACCCCCCCAGAAAAAAGAAAACACATTAATCATCATTCACTTGAGTGCTCTTTTGTCAGAAGTGTGCTGATATCAGAGTTCAGATGACCCTCCAACTTAGGCATCCTTGCCCTATCTTCAGGCACTGTACTTCCCAGCTCCAGGACTCCAGTCCGGCTGAACGGTTTCTCGGAAATCCTTCATAAATGTTACTTTGCCCACGATTTCTGAGAGACCGTTAAACCGGACTGGAGTCCTGGAGCTGGGAGGTACAGTGTCTGAAGGTAGGGCAAGGATGCTTAAGTTGGAGGGTCATCTGAACTCTGATATCAGCACACTTCTGACAAAAGAGCACTCAAATGAATGATGATTAATGTGTTTTCTTTTTTCTGGGGGGCCACACTACCTCAGTGGAAGATGACCAGTGCTTTAAAAAAAAATGGCAATGATTAAATGCATGTTTCACTCTTCTTGTAAAAACTATTTAACAGACTGAGACCTTACATGCTCTTGAAAACAACAAACTGAGGAAGAGGCTGAGGAGGAATCATGTGGATTAAACCCATCTTTGCTTAGGTAAGAAGCAGAGATTCTAATCATGGTGGGTGAAATCCTTTTAAGTCCTCATCTCTTTAGAGCTTTCAACAATTTATCACCTACTCCACTTGTTTCTAACATTTGAAATACATTATAAGTAACAAAAAAAGGCACAATACCGTGACTGGAACGATACACAAATAACCCGCACATAAAAGAGAGAAGCTTACGACGACGTTTCGGTCCAACTTGGACCGAAACGCCGCCGTAAGCTTCTCTCTTTTATGTGCGGGTTATTTGTGTACATTATAAGTTAAAATACCAGTAATTTAAAAAAAAAAAAAAAAATTCTTCTGTACAAGAGACAACATACCAAATCAGAAATTGAATGAAGTCAACTAACCTTTAAAACCTGTGCAACACACTTTAGATTCGAGTCTGTTGGGTGAGAGAGCAGAGCTCTGAGAAGTTGACACAGTGCTCCTTGAAGAATATTTAATGTTTCTCCACTTGATGTAACTAGCTGGGTGAAAAGTTCTGCAAGGAATAGTGTGAACCCACACACTCTTGGTGGATCCGTATGCAGGTAAACATCTTTAACATTGAATTCTTCCTGGCATCTTAAAAGTAATGAAAGAAAGATAACATTCAAGAAATGTTAACCTGCTGGAAGAATCAAGTCATTAACTTAAAACGGAAAGAGAAATCAACCACAATTATCCTTGCTATGTTTCTACTTTTCTGGGTAATAAAAAGTGCCTAATTCTTACACTAAACTCATTACATATAATACTACTGCAACGTTAATACGATAAACTTGTTTAGCATAATATAGTCTTCAAAACTGCATGAGCATGCACTAACCTCTGTAGTAAGACACTCTTAAAGGTTGGCCCATTGTAAGACTGTGTTACATTTTTGGAGAGGTGCTGACACAATTTAGCACCACTATATCTGAAGTTCACCTCACCTACACCCTGTGGACATACATTAAAGCATATATGTGAACAGTATTTAGATAAAGGTAGGGAAGTTTTCATTGCATTTATGCATATAGAAAAGGCATATGATAGTGGATAGGGGAACAATGTGGAAATGTTGTAAGTATATGGAATAGGTAGTAAGTTACTTAATGCTGTAGAGTTTTTATGAGGAGAGTGAGCCTCAGGTTAGGGTATGTAGGAGAGAGGGAGATTACTTCCCAGTAAAAGTAGGTCTTAGACAGGGATATGTAATGTCACCATGGTTGTTTAATATATTTACAGATGGGGTTGTAAAAGAAGTAAATGCTAGGGTGTTGGGGAGAGGGGCGAGATTAAATTATGGAGAATCAAATACAAAATGGGAGTTAACACAGTTACTTTTTGCTGATGATACTGTGCTCTTGGGAGATTCTAAAGAAAAGTTACAAAGGTTAGTGGATGAGTTTGGGAGGGTGTGTAAAGGTAGAAAGTTGAAAGTGAACAAAGATAAGAGTAAGGTGATGAGGGCATCAAACGATTTAGATAAAGAAAAACTGGGTATCACACTGGAGAGAGGGAGTATGAAAGAAGTGAATGATTTCAGATATTTGGGAGTTGACTTGTCAGTGGAAGATTTTATGAAGGATGAGGTTAACCATACAACTGATGAAAGAAAAACTAAGTGGTGCATTAAGGTATCTGTGGAGACAAAAAAAAGACATTATCCATGGAGGCAAAGAAGGGAATGTACAAGAGTACAGTGGTACGAACATTCTTATATGGGTGTGAAGCATGGGTTGCCCATGCTGCAGTGTGCAGGCGGCTGGAGACAGTGGAGATGTTGTATCTAAGGGTAATATGTGGTGTAAATATTATGCATAGAATTCATAGTGTGGAAATTAGGAGGAGGTGTGGAGTTACTAAAAGTATTAGTCAGAGGGCTGAAGAGGGGTTGTTGAGGAGGTCTGGTCATTTAGAAAGAATGGAACATGTACAGGTCCACATTCCTTTATCCGAAACCCTTGGGGCCAGCAGTGTTTCGAATTTCAGAGTTTTTCAAATTTCAGAATGAAGGTGGGGTCTAGGGTAGTACCCCCATAATCAAACATTAACACTACAGCAAAAATGTATGAATACTCATACTAAATGGGATAAATAAAGACTATAAATACTACTATGGAGGTAGTAGGTAGACAGCAACCACCCAGGGAGGTACTACCATTTTGCCAAGTGAGTGTAAAACGAAAGCCTGTAATTGTTTTACAAGATGGTAGGATTGCTGGTGTCCTTTTTTCTGTCTCATGAACATGCAAGATTTCAGGTACGTCTTGCTACTTCTACTTACACTTAGGTCACACTACACATACATGTACAAGCACATATATACACACCCCTCTGGGTTTTCTTCTATTTTCTTTCTAGTTCTTATTCTTGTTTATTTCCTCTTATCTCCATGGGGAAGTGGAACAGAATTTTTCCTCCGTAAGCCATGCGTGTTGTAAGAGGCGACTAAAATGCCGGGAGCAAGGGGCTAGTAACCTCTTCTCCTGTATATATTACTAAATGTAAAAGGAGAAACTTTCGTTTTTCCTTTTGGGCCACCCCGCCTCGGTGGGATGCGGCCGGTGTGTTGAAAGAAGAAAGAAGAATACACATCCCTCTGGGTTTTCTTCTATTTTCTTTCTAGTTCTTGTTGTTTATTTCCTCTTATCTCCATGGGGAAGTGGAATAGAATTCTTCCTCCGTAAGCCATACGTGTTGTAAGAGGCGACTAAAATGCCAGGAGCAAGGGGCTAGTAACCCCTTCTCCCGTATAAATTACTAAATTTAAAAAGAGAAACTTTCGTTTTTCTTTTTGGGCCACCCTGCCTTGGTGGGATACGGCCGGTTTGTTGAAAAAAAAAAATATATATATATATATATATATACACACAAACCCTTCTGGGTTTTCTGCTATTTTCTTTCTAGTTCTTGTTCTTGTTTGTTTCCTCTTATCTCCATGGGACTAAAATGCCAGGAGCAAGGGGCTAGTAACCCCTTCTCCTGTAAATATTACTAAATGTAAAAAGAGAAACTTTCGTTTTTCCTTTTGGACCACCCCACCTCGGTAGGATACGGCCGGTTTGTTGAAAGAAGAAATACTACTACAGTTTATTTATAGAGTAATAGTATATTGATAAATGAAATAATGGGATAATTATAGACCAGGAACATGATTCTCAAGACGATTCTCAAAACAATTGACAGACGGTGTTTTTAAAGACTTCTTCAAGTGTCATCTGTCTTATCAACATAGGTTTCTGTCTAAGCAATCTCTCTTTAACTGAGTAAATTGCGATAATCTCTTGCTCACTGATAAAATGCACATTATTCAAGGCCAGCAATTGCTTATTTGTATTTAACACCATTTTAGCAATTTCACCAAAACTCAAGAAATGCACAACAGGTGCATTATTGTCAATGTTCAGCATCTCTTTGATGTCAGCTTCCTGTAACTCCATTAGCACACAGTCAAGATCTTCGTTTTTTGCTCTATGCAGGTTTTCCTATTTTTCATTAGGTTTTGGTCATCACTGTCACTATAATACTTCAGTAACTTGTCTTTCTGTTTCTTTAAATCATAAACAGTAGGACGCTGCACTGGCACACCACGATCAAGGTCCTGCAGTAACTCTACTTTCTGCGTTATTGATAATGTCAGAGGCTTTCTTTGCTTTTTGTGTTACCCATAGTGGTATCTGCAGCTCTTTTTGACATTTTCACAGTGAAATTAAACACAAGTCACAAAATAAAAAGCAAAAACAAAATATCAGCGAACAGCAGATGCACGTGTAAATACTACAAGTGCTGAGACACAACTTGTGGTGTTGAAGTTGTGTAGAGATGACTAATGCTCTACACTCCATGAAAAAACTTCAGTTTTTGAAGTTTTTCAAATTTCAGAATTTCGGATAAAGAAATGTGGACCTGTAAATCTGTAGGAAAAGGAAGGCAGGGTAGGGGTCATCCTCGAAAAAGTTGGAGGGAGGAGGTAAAGGAGGTTTTGTGGGCGAGGGGCTTGGACTTTCAGCAAGCATTTGTGAGCATGTTAGATAGGAGTGAATGGAGACAAATGGTTTTGGGGACCTAATGAGCTGTTGGAGTGTGAGCAGGGTAATATTTTGTGAAGGGATTCAGGGAAACCAGTTAGCCAGACTTGAGTCTTGGAAATGGGAAGTACAATGCCTGTACTGTAAAGGAGGGGATTGGGATACTGGCAGTGTGGAGGGACATCTAAACTGTCGTATCTGAGCGCCTCTGCAAAGACAGTGATTATGTATGAGTGATGGTGAAAGTGTTGAATGGTGATAAAAGTTTTGTCTTTCCTTTTGGGTTTTCCTTTCTTTTTGGGTCACCCTGCCTCAGTGGGAAATGGCTGATGTGTTAAAAAAAAATTAACACAAAATTTTCTCCTCTATCCTTTTGGTGATTTATACAGAAGGGGTTACTAGCCTCTTGCTCCCAGCATTTCAGTCACCTTTTATCATGTGCAAGGCTGTGGAGGAAAAATTTCACCCACTTTCCCATGGAGATGAAGGAAAATGCTATAAGAACAAGAACTATTATAAGATCAGAAGTAAATTCAGATGAGTGTATATAGCATACATGTTCATACTACACATGCACAACTGCATAAGTAGTATGAGCTAATTGTAAGCAGAAGTAATAAGACGTTCCTTTCATCTTGCATGTTTATGAGACAGAAAGAAGACACCAGCAATCCTACCACTTTTTCTTTCTTTCAATACACAGGCTGCATTGCACCAGGGCAGGGTGACCTATAAAAAAGAAAAACAAAAGTTTTCCTTTATAAATTTAGTAATTTATGCAGAAGGGATTACTAGCCCCTTGCTCCTAGCATTTTAGTCACCTCTTACAACACACACGGCTTATGGATGAAGAAATCTTTTCCACTTTCCCAGGGAAATAAGAGGAAATAAAGAACAAGAGCCTAGGTAGTAGGTAGATAGACAGCAACCACCCAGGGAGGTACTACCGTCCTGCCAAATGAGTGTGAAACGAAAACCTGTACATAACTGTCTTACATGATGGTAGGACTGCGAGTGTCTTTTTTTCTGTTTCATAAACATGCGGGATAACAAGTATATCTTGCTACTTCTACTTACACTTTGGTCACACTACACATGCATGTATATTTACACACCCATCTGGGTTTTCTTTTATTTTCTTTATAATTCTTGCGTTTCTTTATTTCCTCTTATCTCAATGGGGAAGTGGAAAAAAATTCTTTCTCAGTAAACTATGCATGTCATAAGAGGTGACTGTAATGCTGGGAGCAAGAGGCTAGTAAACCCTCCTCCTGTATACATTACTAAATTTAAAAAGAAAAACTTTCATTTTTAATTTTAGGTCACCCTGCCTTGGTAAGATACAGCTGGTTCATTGAAAAAAAAAAATCTGTTATTTGACTGAGCTGTACTAAATTAAACCAAGAGCACACAATATTAGACTACCAACATGTCTGTGAATGGGATCCAGAATGCATCCCAGGTTTCCTAATGAAATATTTTGTATCCGTGAATTTACCATCAACAAGATTCTTGTAAAATTTTTCCCCTTTGAAGGCCTAGGTACAAGCTCTATTTACAAAATTTATATACAAAGACGTTGAAATTACAGATAACTTAAATAGAAATTAATTTAAGAACAACATACCTGCTCAAATATTACTGTGATGAGCTCTTTCATAAGGTATGCATCTTTCACTTGCCACGTGAGTATCGTTGTTAATTGTCGTGCAATTTGATCAAATCTGTAAAGTATAAATACATATAATACCTCAAACCTAAAAATATATTAGTGTAAATTTTACTAATTCTTTTTTTTATTTCCTTTCAACACATCGGCCATCTCCCACCAAGACAGGATGACCCAAAAAAGAAACACTTTCACTAACTTTAGTTTTTTTCTATTTGGTTCTCACATTTTCTGTTTCTTAATCCTAAACAACTAGGGATATTTTGGTTGCTGTTGTGAAGTGCCCTCCACTCTCCAATAATACCTCTCTCCTATCACAACTATCTCAGAAGGTACACAACTGGTTGAAACAATAGGAGGCATTTCTTCAAAAATATTTTCTATCAAGAATATCCAGGACATCAGTATCCATTAACCCTTTCAGGGTTTCGGCCGTACTAGTACAGCTTACGCACCAGGGTTTTTGACGTACTAGTACGCCTAAATTCTAGCGCCCTGAAATCTAATGAAAGCTGGTAGGCCTACATATGAAAGAATGGGTCTATGTGGTCAGTGTGCGCAGTATAAAAAAAATCCTGCAGGACACAGTGCGTAATGAGAAAAAAAAAAACTTTGACGGTGTTTTTTTATTAACACAGCGACTTTGCACTGTATTTTCGTATGGTATTTATTGTTGTATTCTAGTTTTCCTGGTCTCATTTTATAGAATGGAAGACATATTACAGAAATTCAGATGATTTTTACTGGTTTTACAATGAAAAGTACCTTGAAATTGAGCTCAAAGTCGCAGAAATGTTTGATTTTTACCAAAGTTCAAAAGTAAACAAATCATGCTATGCGTCCAATGCACATCAACTGGTGAGTCTAATATTCCTTCACAAGTGCACTGATATTATTTATACCATTTCTACACTAATGCAGTAGTCTGCATAACAGTAAATCTTCTATTTTTTTGTGAGAATAAAAATTCAAAGTGGAAAGCAAAAGAATGTAAGAGGGGTACGTGACTAATGAACAGAGGAAATGTTATTTTAGTACCAGGAATGTCTTTCTTGTTTATTCTGGACCCTATTCGGAAATTGGCATCTTTTGAAATTTGTGTGAAATTGGCAAAATTGCTAAATTCTGACCACTGTATTGGATAGTTGAAATTGGTAAATGGGTGGTTTCTTGTACTCATTCGATAGAAAAAATGGAGTTCTAACGAAATAGTTATGATTTTTGTCGACTAGTACACTGGAATTGGCCGAAAATAGGGCTCAAAGTGGGCAAAATCGCTGATGCGTAAACATTGTCGAGACCGCTAACTTCGCGAGAGCATAATTCCATAAGTTTTCCATCAAATTTCATACTTTTGGTGTCATTATGATCAGGAAAAGATTCTTTATCTTTTCATAAGAAAAAATAATTTTTTTTTATGAAATTTGGCCGACCCTGAGAACAAGTCTCTGATAGGGCCTGTCGACCCTGAAAGGGTTCAAGAATAATTGTAGTGAGGTTTGTTTTAACTGCTTATTATTGCTCCTCTGCCTTCAGATTTAACAGCAAAAACATTTGGTTCCCAAAATCTACTTCCAGCACAAATTTCTTTCTTAACACTATAATCTAACATCAACAACATACAATTCTGTTTCTTTTTCCAAACATCATAATCACATATAAAATGCAGGCAACATTTGTAAATAGTAAATGAGATGAAAGGAAGAACACACCAAATGAGCTGTTCAAGTGTAACAAGATATAACAATAAAAAAACATCACAAAAAAAAAAAACAATAATGGGCAAAACAATTCTACAGAAACTTACCTATTAGGTTTTATAGTAAGCTGTACAACCAAGTTGTTAACTTGTACAACAACTGGGTGGCATGTGTACTGAATTTGAGGCTGGGGAACAACTGGACTTGTCACCTAGGGCAAAAAAACATATGAAAAATCCCTTCTATTATGCAAATAATATTTGTAGACTGAAAGTTCCATTTGTACTGACAGGAATGAATGATCATGTGAGCAAATGTTACCTTCCAATAGAAATGGCATCTTTCTTTTTTTTGACACACTGGTCATCTTCCACTGAGGAAGGATGTCCCGAAAAAGAAACACTGATACTCTTTTTTTATAATATTCACAAAACCACATGGTCAATTCTGCAAAGTACTGCAGCGACTCACTACTGAATATTTGAGCATTCCAGTACAGCCATCAACTATTAATAGCCCTGCATCCACATCAACACAAGAACCACAGCCATCTACCTCAGCTCAGTAGGCTTACATCAACCCTGTGGCCTGGTGGCTAAGCTCTCACTTCACAGGGCAAGTGTCTGGGTTCGATTCCCGGCGAGGGTAGAAACACTGGGCGTGTTTCTATACATCGGATGTCTATGTTCTCCCATCAGTAAAATGGGTGCCTGGGAGTTAGTCAACTGATGTGGGTCACATCTTGGAAAAAAACTGACCTAATTTTCCCGAAATGCTCTGCATAACAAGCGGCTTTCTACATAGTAGTATGTCACTGATGTCGGCTAGGCCTGTATACTTTGTACATGTACTTGTAGAAATAAAGATATTATAATAATAATATTATTCTCACTGCCAAACTAGAAGGCTAAGTTATACTGTAGTAACTTTTGCCTAGTCCAGTACAATAGTAAAAAACAATTATTTGGCAAATCTGAAGGTGTCTGGAACTTAACCATACTTTTTCATATGTTCTTCACTTCACATAAATGCTATTGTACATAAGTGCTGATTTTCAGGAACTTAACCTGCCTCTTATGACAGTTTACTGTATTATATTGTTATTAAAATGAAGTTCTATGGAAAAAATTTAACCCAAATATTGTTTTTAAAATATGTAGTCATTTTTTACAGTGCACAATTTCTTTTAGTCTAGCACACAATCCCTAAATTGAAAAGCCAATCATAGAGTTTTGTTGCAAATGTGCTCAAGGGATTTCCTATGTCAAAATATAGTACTGTGCAATGTTTAAATTAAGGAAGAAGCCCATACAGGTCATTTACAACAAGGAGTGGCGAAGGTTTGATTCCCAGTCTACTAACTGTGGTCTAGTCTTTGACCTATGAGGCTGCTGCATTTTTTTCACATAGCTTATGTGACACAAAAGCCTAAACATTAAAAAATATTAAACAATGTGGAGAACATTTAGTGCTATTTGTGGGTGGGAGGACTGTTTATATGTTTACAAAGGAATGCTCTTAACATCTACTGGCATTATGTTGAAAAGCTTCGAGCCTTAAATATTGATACACTATCGTGTTCTTGCGCTGCATTTCCCATATTTGTCCATACACACACTGGTTTTTACTTAATACCTTTTTAGTATTTTAAAAGTAGTTCTAAAAAGCAACTGGAAATAATTCTTACCTGATGATGTTGCTGCATACTCTGTACTGGATTAGAAATCTGGATTTGTGGTTGAGCTGAAGGTTGAATAAATGTTCGTGGGACAAATTCTGGGGCATCTGCAGAGAGTAAGAATGTTTTCTTGGATTTTATTTCTTGAGGTTCTGTAAGGAAAACACTTTGTAAATTTTTGTTACAATAATTATGCACAGTATAACAAATGCTAGGTGAAAAAAAAAAAGTTAAGACAATATGGTGTTGAAGAATTGAGAACAAATAGGAAATTGAGAATGGAGTCAAATATGTACAGATAAACTTTTAGATCAGTACGTCAGGACCTGGAGCTCAAGTTCCTCAAACACAGCTATACAACAATAGCAAGGCCAGAAGCTACAGCTCAACTCAGCACCCTCAACTGGCCCAGGAGCTGGAACTCAACCCTCCCCAAACACATCTAGATTTTGAGATCAACTGGTAGATGCAACCTTAAGATACGTATATATTTTACTAATTATATAAATGACATTAGCACTCAGAAATGTTAATACTCACGCATACTAGATGTGCACCAATTACGATTGCCACCTCCTGTCAGAGGAACACAAGCATTAATGGCTTACAGGGGCAATAGGGTGCAAACCAATAAGCAGAACTTTAAGAAATTCATGACACATATTCCTATGGCCAGGGGATGTGTAAAATAGTGTCAACATTAAAGGTTTTGAAAGGGAACTCGAGTTTAGGTTAATTTCTGAATTTATTGCGAGTGTGAGGTTTGAATTACCGTACTGTACCTTAATGATTAAAAATACACAAACTATGGCCATGATGCAGCACAGTATGATTTCCAGTTGATATTTTCAGGTTTCTGGCTAATCCAAGTACATGTTGAAATATTACAGTACAGAAATTTAATAACAAGCATAAAGTTGACTACCTTGCATTAGTATTAAGACAAAAAGAAAGATTTATTTTAGCCACTCTTATCTTGCCTAGACTTGAGTAGTTATTAGATACTAGGATTAGTCTGCTTGAAATGCCCTGGCATGATAGTGGCTTTCTTTATACTTAACAAGCCAAAATTGTAATTACACATTGTAATATTTTACACAAGTTATTTTTTTAAGTGTAGGTAAAAAATATACAAATTTAAAAAGCAAATACCTCTACCATAATTAGCATACAATCAATTCACATAAATGCATAAATCATACCTATGTCTGAACATATAATCTCTAACATTGTTATTATGGCATTATTTGTACCTAGTTATGTGTACACTTATAGTTCTTTGGATGATACATTTTTTTAAATACTTAGCTAGTACTGAATAGTGCTGGTAGATTTAATATTGGTTTACTGTGTCGTTATTTATATGGGATGAAAATCCACCTTTATGGATGGTGTGATCTTGGCTCTTTTGAAAAAAATCTGAGATTTGAACTGTAGTATGTATTGGCATACCTCTGGCAAGACAGTGATGGCCTGAGTGATGATGGAAGTGTTTGTTCTTTTCAGGTCACCCTACCTTGGTAGGAAATGGCCAATGTGTTAAAATGGTAATGACACAAAATCGTGTCATAATGACATGTGTCATTATGATTTCGTGAGTCATAGTAGCTATTTCAGCTGGATTGTTTGCAGACTTTTTGAGGTACAAGTACATATTTGATTATGGAGCTTATTTCGGAGAATGTGGTCAGTGCTAGGTACAATATATGGTATAGATAAATGACTCGGAGAACCAATAGGATGAAAATGAAAATGTTTATTTCCTTGCAAAGCTTACAATGTGTGGTTTACATATCATAAAATATTAATTACAAAGAAAGCCACTAGCATGCCTAGGCATTTTGGGCAGACTAATCCTAATTCTTACTCTATATTGGCACAGGTTATAGAGCAGTACATTTTAATATACATTATTGCATACTGATGTAAAAGTTAAGTAAGTGAAATGATTATCATTAATTAGATTGATAATAGTGAGGTAGTATAAAACATATAACAATATTACAGTTAGTAAATCTAGTAATGGGAATGGTTTTAGCTTGGCATGATACACTGTTTCTATAAAAGCTCCTATATTGGTAGAATATTTCAGGCAAATTTAGGACTAATTTAAGACTAGGCAATAACTATACAGTATTAGGAATTTTATGTTTGAGTGAATGTAAGTGTAAAATAGGGAGAATTACAGATATCGAGAGTAAGTCTATTTTGTTTTGGATGTGTTCATGATACAAAAAAGAGAATAGGTGGTTTTCACATAGTCAGATGATGATGGGGTGTTTTAGTGAGATGAGGCATTTTTTAATGGTAGTTTTGAAAATGGTGGTTGAGTCTGCGGTGCTGGAGTTTTCGGACAGGGAATTCTAGATTTTAGGCCCTTTTATGCAAACTGAGTTTTTGGAAGAGATTTAGCTGGACACGAGGAATGTCAGATTTTTGTGTCTGGTATTGTGTCTATGGGTCCTGTTGCAACTATTAAGAAAGTGTTTTAGTTCAAGGTTAATATTAGAATTTATGGTTCTGTAAATGTAGCTCGCACAGTAGTAGGTGTGAATGTTCTGTACAGTTAGTAAGTTTAGGTATTTGAAGAGTGGGGGGGGGATTGTCTAGCATTGGATTGCGTGATAATTCTTACTGCAGCTTTTTGTTGGGTTATTATTGGTTTTCAGCAGGTTGCTGATGTTGATCCCAGGCACAAATAGCATAGGTGAGGTAAGGATAGATGAGTGAATAGTATAGAGAGAGTAGGGCTGATTGTGGTACAAAGTAATGTAGTATCTTTGAGAGGATCCCAACTGTTTTTGATACTTTTTTTGTTATGTGTTGGATATGGGTGTTGAATTTCAGGTTGCTGTTCAGGTGCAGACCCAGAAATTTGCTCTCATTATGTTTAGCAATAAGAGTGCTGTCAATCATAATGTTCATCTGGGCATTACCTGTTCTGCTCCCAAATATAATGTAGGTTTTGTTGGTGTAAGTTTATTGGCAGTCATCCAGGTCGATATTTTTACTAGCTCTTCATTAACAATGGTGTTGAGTGAGGTAAGATTAGGGTGGGAGATGACGTAAATCGTGTCATCAGCAAAGACAACAGATTTAAGTTGTTGTGATGCATTAGGAAGACCACTGATGTACAAGAGGAAGAGCAGGGGGGCCAAGGATACCTCCCTGTGGTACTCCAGTATCCAGTGGTTTTGTTGATGAGGTTGTCCTTAACAGAGACATACTGATGATGAATTTAGACACTTCTGCAACAATTGGGTATCTCTATTGTGAAAACGTTTTGCTAACCAGTGGCTTCCTCAGTTCATTTGGATTGAGGAAGCCACTGCATTGCATAAGTGTCTAATTCATCACAGTATATGGTGTTAGAATCATTAACCCTTAAACTGTCCAAACGTAGATCTACGTTCACTTGCGTAGCGCACCGAAAGTAGATCTACGTTCAATTTTACATGCTTTCTTTTGTAAAAAAAAATAATGTAGATCTATGTTCAGAGCGCTACATGAGTGAACAAAGATCTACGTTTGGACAGTTTAAGGGCTAATGGTTAGGTACTCCTGGTACCTGACTAGTAGCAGAGGGTGGGGATTCCTTTTATTCTGACAGAGTATTATTTGTTGAGATCAAGTCAGCCAGTCACACCTGTCTTCAGTCAGCCAGTCACACCTATCTTCAAGAAAAACGATTAACTAGATGTTGGCAATTCCAGACCTGTTAGTATGCCAATGTCATTTCTAAAATACCATACAAAGTGGTTTATGTTCCTGTAGAGAAGTTGTGCCTAAATGAAGAAAAAATACTGTGTTCCACATTATTTTTATTATTATTATTATTACTATTATTATATTAAAATAAATGCTAGACCTGAATGGGCCATGTAGTTGTGTAATGTGTGCAAGAGAAGGGGTTACTGCACGAGCAAAATTAATGTGAAAGTTGGTGCAGTAGATTAGCTTCAGCTACAAAAATGCCAGGGTGAGTCTGCACAGGAAGAGGACTTTCAGCAAGGTCAGTTACAGCAAGCGTATTTGGGCACTGCAGATGTCATAAGTGAATTCTGATAAGTGGGACAGTCTATTAAGATATGGTGAATCAATAGCTCAGCCTGGCAGTATCTGTAATGAGGTTCTGGTCATCTCTCCAAGTGGTGTGCTTCAGTCTTAATCGTGTACTTGATGTCTCACCAGGGGGTCACCTGATACGCCTTAAGATGATTAAATTTCCATCAGATGGAATGACCCAACCACAACAAAACCACCAACAGAATCAACATTGAAACAAGGTTGGTAGTGATTTCTTCTCCATCTGTCTGGGAACTGGATATTCCAAAAGGGAAAATATTCTCACTAATGAGGCCAAAGCACAAGGGAGGAATGGGGGATTATTCAATTTCAATCAGAGGAAGGGGAAAAAATATACAGTTCTTTGGATTAAGAGCTAATTTGCTGTGGCAAGGGATCCAATTGAAGGAGAAACTAAACCACATGATCACCAACCAGGGGAACCTCAACAAGAATCCTATTCACTGGAAAACTTCATATGAATATTACTATTATTGTATTATTATTATTCTTATTACTGTATTATTATATTCATGGAAAGTGCTAAATTCTCAAGCCTCATTCAGTGATTACTGTATCTTAGGATACTACCAGAGTGAATCTCATTTTCTTAACTGGGGAATAAAACCTAATTTTGATATGCCAGTTGAAACTTTTCAGCCAATTAATTGGTCACCATCCGGCAGACCTGTGTCGGGAGACACTTGTCCAGTTTCCTAATGAATAAAATACTACCATCACCTGCTACAAGACAGAGGAGAGAGATGGTAGAGAGGGAGAGCCAAAGAATAAAGGGATAACTTCAAATTTCAGCTAAATTGGGATAACAGTTGTAAGCTAAAGATGAAGAAGCCTACTGAGTAGAAGAAATGTTTCGGAATAAAGATACCTAACCATTGCACATGTGTCTTACTTTCAACCTGTCAGTATTGTATACCATTTTCATATTCAAGCTGAAGTGTAAAACAAAATTAATCTGTGAAAAACTATATGGTATACAGTATATCTCTTATATACTGTAAGCTAATGGTTATGGGGATCATTTTTCCCCCATGGCCCAGTCACAGACCAGACTTCCTGAACTGGCAAGGAAATATTGCAAGAATAAGAAGTACAGTATTAAAAATGCATAATTATAAAGACATGTGCAGACTGAATGAAGATAAGTGTGTAAGATTTACCTCCCATCTTACATGCAATCCTCCCAGAGGACAAAATATTTAACAGGCTTCTTTTTCAGACTTGCATGACAGGACAGCAGTGCCTCCCTGGATGGATACTAATGTGGCTCAGTTGGTTGCCACCTCAGCTCACACATTCAGGGACCTGAATTTGATCTCCAGCACGAGTGGAAATGTTGGGCACGTTTCCTTACACCTGCTGCCCCTGTTCATCTAGCAGTAAGTAGATACCTGGGTGTTAGGCAACTGGTGTAGGTCACATCCAGGGGAAGATGATTAAAGGACCCTAATAAAAATAAGACAGACAGTCCCCAATGACATCCTGACTTTAGTGGGCTATCTCTGGGTTAAAAATCTTGGTAAAATCGTCTTCATTTATGAATCGACTATGAAGCAAAGGATTTGCAGACTGGTTTGCATCTAGTTAAACAAGAGGAAACATTGTTAAGGTCAACAATGCTGCAGGAAATCCTTCAGTGATAGGATGTGAAGTTCCACTATTATTCCTGTACTATACGAAGATCCCAATAGAAATAAGCCATAGTTTGACTACCAAGCCATCCAGTTATAAATATAAATAATGTACCATTAATATATGACTACAAAATCCATGCAGTCTAAGAATCATTGTATTAATATTAGTTTGTAACACCATTAGTAGACTCCCTTTAAGTTAACATGTAAAGGTTATTTAGATACAGTTACACAAATTATTATTACAATTACCTTATATAGCAAAGTGTAAATATATTACTTGGATTATTCCCCCTATAAACAATCAGTGACTTATTTTCATTGGGGTCCTGAATGAAGCTTATCTTATAGTATTATTATTATAATAAAAAAGAAGTGCTAAACCTACAAGGGTCATACAGCACAGAGCTTATCTTATAAATATTTTTAATGGTCTTAAAGGCAAACTCTGACTATATATTGATGATAGTGACGTCAAGTATATATATGGAGGTTATCAATACAAACAAAATAATAAAAAGATAATGCTTTCTCACCTGTTACTATGGTGGAATTTTGTTTTTGCTGAGGAAAGACCCCAGGCTGAGGTGGGAAGACCCCAGGTTGAGGAGAGAAGACCCCAGGTTGTGGGGCCAATACCCCAGGCTGTGGGGGCAATACTCCAGGCTGTGGGGGTAAGACCCCAGGTTGTGGGGGTAAGACCCCAGGTTGTGGGGGTAAGACCCCAGGTTGATGAGAATTAAGACCAGGCTGAGGTGGGGGGAACCCAGGTTGGTGGAGGATTATTCCAGACTGTGACAAGACCCCAGACTGAGGCGAGAGAACCCCAGGCTGAGGAGGGAGGGTCCCAGATTGAGTCGAGAGGACCACAGACTGAGGAGGGAGGGTCCCAGACTGAGTCGACAGAACCACAGACTGAGGCAAAATGACCGCAGACTGCGGCGAGATGACCCCAGACTGAGCCTGGAGGACCACAGACTGAGACTGTAGGGCCCCAGACTGAGACTGTAGGGCCCCAGACTGCGGCTGGAGGACCCCAGGGCCCTCAGGATGTACATGTGGCCGCCTCAGAACAGCTCTCTCAACCCCATCATTCCCCGTCACACCTCTCCCTCGGCCCCGCCCTCTACCTCCTCCTGCCTCCATAGCACCACCAGCAGGAGTAACACCTCACAAACACCTACAGATACAGAGTATTTCCACAGAGAGGCCACTTTAATGGACGTGTCCGCGGCATGTAGCCTCTACGACTGCTACTTTGCTACTCTGAACTTCACAACTATATTTTGCAATTCTCTGTTATATAAGTAAAGTTTATTCGAATAGCGGATGATGTCCCCTAGCCGAATATAAGTTAAATCTATATATTAGCCAAATGGTAAAGTATATGCGGAGTAAAAGACGGTAAATTGCTAATTTTCGGATAATTTTTGATGGAATTAGAAAGCTTAATGGAAACAGAACCTGTGCTTTATTTTCACCATATTTTCAGCTTTCACTACCAATATACTCAGTATTTACGGCACAATGCTCGGTAATATCATGGGATAAATTCAAAAGTGATGCCATATTTTTATTTATTCCACAGGTTAAGGTTGGTGAGTGCTTAAATCTCCAGCTAGTGGGGAGAAAAATAATGTGGTGGTTGGTTATTTTGCCCGTGATTGTCTGGCTGGAGGTAAACAAACATGGAGCTGCTGAGGGAGGCCAAGAGTGTCGTCGACTTCGCTACTTATGTATGTCTGATGGATAAGATACATGACTAGCAGGATGTATACACCCAGAAGTGCGCAACACTTGGGTATCTTTACTGAGGAAACGTTTCACCACATAGTGGCTTCATCAGTCCCTTATAAAAGACTGGTGGAGATCAGAAAAATAGAAGATAATCAGTCTCTGAGGGACTGATTACCTCCTGATAAGCTCCCTCCTCACATCTTCCAAGACTTTTCTTTGTATTGGAATAATAAAGTCACTGGTTACGATACGTTTCCACAGTAAAAATACCCAAATGTTGCATATGTGTCTTATTCAACTACTTGACAGTTTTGTTAAGTATTAATATAGTAATATAGGCGAGGGTTATCTTTATTATAAAACAGTTTTGTTAACTAGTGGCTTTTTCAGTTCAATGTGGAGATCATTTGCAAAAGACAATGGAAGATGAAGTAATCAGTCCTTCAGCCTTAACAGGTGTTCAGTCCCTTTGTCTTGATCAGCCTGAAGCAGAGGCAGAAGTCTGGAGTCTGAAGAGAGGTGCAGCAGTTGAAGACATTGTTGCAGGTGGACAGAACCCACTAGTGGCAATACATTGTGTCAATTCATGCTTTACAGGTTTCGGACTCCTTCTGCAGACTCATTACAAGCCAGCAAAATGCTCGAACCATTTTGGTATTCAGTCTTTCTTACCATAAATAGTTATTAACATTATTATTTTTGTTGCTGTCACTTGCAGTTTTCAACCACCTTAACATTTTGTTATTATCAATAAAAATTTGCTGTTATCCTTACTAGTTAACTATCATATCAGAGATATAATCACAGTGTGATCAAACCATATCAAATCATATCCTGTAGGTAAGTAAATAAATTTTGACAAAGGGGAAAGCTTCCTGCTTTTAGGTTGAAAATGGGTTGCTGGGTTCTTAATCAGGTACTTATGCCACTCAAATACTACCACCATGGGTAGGTGATTCAGCATCATAGAATTATGACTGACTGACTTTTACAACAGTATAATTATCTTTTATTTCTTATTTTAATTGTTATATTAATTGGAATGTATATTAAACTATAATAGCATTGCAGTTTCAGACAAGAAAAGTAACTTTACACTCTCCTAAACTAACACCATTTTTTTCTTTACAGTATCCACTTCTGAACAAAGCAACAGTTGACAATGATGCACCAATACCAGGATACCTTTTTGAAGAGATCATCAGTATCCTTTTGTATGTCATACTTAAGGTTGTGAGTTTAGTTGATTGTATGCACATATAATCAAATTTCAATACAGAATACAAAAGAAAAGTTGAGTTAGCAGAGTTATTATGTGCAGCTCTAAACTAAGATATAGAGCAACACAAAACTACATAGCACATGAGAGACACTAAAACACTTTGTGAAGATTAACAGATGTTAGCTTTTATAATTCTGCTGTTCTTAAAAATAAAATTAAAAAATTAAAGACATTTTATGTGTATCCAGAAATTAAACTACTGGTAGTACTGTTACATTTATACAGTATGTTCTTAGGCCTGTTAGGTCTTCTGATGGAAAAAGATGGGGGTCCAAACCCAGTTTCTTCTTTCATTAAAAGTTAATACAGTACCTTCCCACATTATGATAGTAGATATTTGGGTAGAAGTTATGACATTCTGTTCAGTAGTGTGTACATAGTGTTATGAGCTTCTAGCAGCAGTGGATCCACCAGAAATGAGTTGGTCAGGAAATCTGTTGACCACATCCAAACCTCCATGAAAGTGGGCCATGATTATGGCACTCAGTTAATTTACACTTTAATGTAGATACATGACAAGTGTTGTAGCAGCTCCTTAATCATAGAACACATGAGCACCTGCTAAAGGTGTTATGTTAACTCATTTACTTAATCTTCTAGAGCTGTTGTTCCCCCCCCCCTTGTCAGGCTTGTGACCTTAGTAACATCTGGTATGGCAGCTCCACATAGACATGTATGGTGTGAGAGCAGAAGGACCTTGCCTTCCTCCCATTTTTATCTGTCATAGAGGACAGTAGTCTGCCTTTTGAAGGGTCAAAAATTTGATTGTTTGATTGGTGAGAATGGCAAGGTGACTTTTTAAAATAATTATTGAATGTGTTGACCTCAAATCACCCCCATGAAGTTGAGTTATAGCTGTTAATAATAGTACAATATACACTTAACACAACTGTTATTTTAGGATGCAATTATTTTTTTTTTTTTTAGGAAAGTAACTTTATAACTACATATTAATTATACAGGCACTGATATTAAAAAAATATAAGTACAATAATTAATACAGTAATACCTTTGGTCTGTCAGAAAATCCTGTTCTATTGTCCACTTTTTACAATTTGTGAGTTTACAAAATTTGTGACTATAGTTCTTTCTTAACATGCTTTTGAATTGAGCCATCATTCTTCTGGTCATCGGCAGCTTCTCGTTGATTTTCTCCTGACTCGACTACAAAGTTCATCATGGCCTGGAAAGCAAAAGGTATAGGGATACCCCTGTAGTTTTACCCTGTGTTAATTGTTTTTTTTTTTAGTACTTCATTCTCATACAGTTATTGAGACTACTTCCCTTGATTAAATTAATAATTGCCACATTCTTGTAGGTGAATGAAAAAAAATTCCTACTTATAAATAAAAAAAGGCACAATACCATGACTGGAACGATACACAGATAACCCACACATAGAAGAGAGGAGCTTATGATGACATTTCAGTCTGACTTGGACCATCCTGCTCTCCTTTTCGTTAGTTGGACCGAAACGTCGTCGTAAGCTCGTCTCTTCTATGTGCTCGTTATTTGTGTAAAATTCCTACTTAGCTGGCCACAATAAATATAATTCTTTCTCACTACTGCTTATTGATGCAATCTCTGATATGTCAATATATTGCATTATAAATGTTTCATATTTGTTATTTATTGTATGTACAGTACTGTAAGGATATGACAGTTTTTGTAACATAATATTTTTATTTTTGTAAGCATATTACTTATTTGATCAACAGTACAGTAGAGTATTCAAAAATGAACTTACAAAGCCATTTTAAAATTAATGTGCTGTATTGTATATATACAATTAATGAATGTATGACAAACATTTTCCATATTAGAAAATTTTAAAATGATAGAATTGAATGGGTTGAGTCTCAGAAAATAATTGAGAGGTAAACTGTGTCTTCCTAACTGTTTTTGGTTCTCACCCAGGGTACTTCAGTCAACCATTATCAAACTAAAAGGTTAGCTAATCAAGTGACCACTCTACTCTTTCTTATACCGTATATGCTGTACTAACAAGCGTGAATGTTTTCTCCTCAGGTAATACGCATATTACAGCACACATGTTCTCGTGGACACCGAGGAGTGCGAGTCTACCTGCGGGGTAAGGATGGAGAGATTCGGAAAGCTGCGGCATCAGGTGGTCCTCCAGACCCCGTGCTGGCCAACACACCACAACTCTTTCTTAGTTCAGCAATACAGGTGTGAGCTATGATCCTTTGCCATATATCAGAAATATGATTATATATATGGCACCTTTTTCACAGTTTTTATTTGTAGATCAATTGCAGATACATATTCTGTTTTTTGCTTTAAAATTTTAGAGTATAGCTCAGCATTAGGAAATTGTCCAAATAATTTTTTGCCATTTTTTCTAGATTTAATGGGACTACCCCTCAAGGAAGGTTCCTTGATGTTGGTGAGGGGCTCTTGATTTAGGGAATTGGATCTGTGCTCCAGTTCCCCGAATTAAGCCTGAATGCCTTCCACATAACCCCCCCCCCCAGGCGCTGTATAATCCTCCAGGTTTAGCGCTTCCCCCTTGATTATAATAATAATAAATAATTAATGGGACTACTTATAATGTTCCAGAGAGCTCATCGTTAGACGAAATTATCGTTAGCTGAATTAATTTTCCCCATAAGAAATAATGGAGATCCAATTAATCCGTTCCAGACAGCCAAACGTATTAAAAAAATCATTCTTTTTTCATGAAATATACATTTCCCTACAAAGAAAACAATGAGACATGAACAATAACTATATAAATAAATGTTAAAATGACACTTACCTTTATTGAAGAGTACTGATGAGTGATGAGACACTGTTGTTCTTGAACACTCTGGGATTTTCCGAGTGATACATGAGTAAAGGCTTCAGTTTGCAATCCCCACTAGCATTACAACAGAACAAGAAAGTTAGCCTGTCTTTCATAGGCTTGTGTCCTGGGAGTGCCTTTTCCTCCTGAGTAATGTAGGTCCTGTTTTTATTTTCTTCCAGAACAGGCCTGTTTCGTCACAATTGAACACTTTTTCTGGTTGGAATTTTTCAGCTTCGCCATGCTTTATCACCCTGTGTATGCCACTACGATTCTTAAATCTCTCAAACCAACCTTTGCTGGCCTTAAATTCACCAATATGAGCACTAGTTCCAGGCATTTTTTCCTGTTCTCCTGGGTGTTAGTTGACTGGTGTGGGTTGCATCCTGGGGGACAAGATTAAGGACCCCAGTGGAAATAAGTTAGACAGTCCTCGATGACACACTGACTTTCTTGGGTTATCCTGGGTGGCTAACCCTCTGGGGTTAATTGTTTCTCGTTAAGCCACACCAACAACACACTCTCCACATCTTCGAGTAGTACAGCTGACGGTGATGCAGCAGCAGCTGACCGTGGTACGATAGTATTTCGATAGTATTTCTCACCCCTTTTACCACAGGGTTGGCACTTGAAGCTTTCTTTGGGCCTATTGTGGGTTATTTAGCAGTTACAAGCACTAAAAACAATGGAATAATACAAAATGTATCAAATGTATGCATGGAACCGGCCACCCTGGCTTGTAAACAATGACGGCAGGGCAGTTGAGGCACTCAGGCTGGACGGACAGGTTCAGGACAAGTCATGTTGGTCAAGTTTTTCATCGTTGGCTGGGCCAAAATTTTTACGCTCAAACGCTTTGTTGGGCGAATTTATCGTTAGACGATGCCTTTGTTAGCCGAGGGTCCACTGTAGTTTGACAGGAAAGTAGCACAGCTCATAAAAGTTAGACCTTTGAGTTTATGACAGATATGTTTCTTGGAAACTCATTATATTTTGTTAAAGAAATTCTTTATATGAAAAGGTCTTCGGACAAATTAAAGCCATTGACTGATTTTCCCAACTTGTTTTCTGTTTTTCACCTGCAAAAACAAATTCTGATTTTATGTATATGGTCTCGGCATGCATGTGCATACACTCTTACATACCCTTATACTCATACTGTCACACTCATTAGAAAAATAAGAATGAAGCACTGAAGTAGACCTACTGGTCCATACTTGGCAGGTCATTCTTAAATCCTACTCTTGTCATTCTCAAGTTTATCCAACATATACTTAAAGTTGCTCAGGGTTTTCACTTCATTGACCCTAGCTGTTGGCAGATTTTTCTACTCATCAACAATATTGCTCAACCATTACTATTTATTCTCTATATTTTCCAAACCTACATCGATCCAACTTGAATCCATCAGTTAGTGTTTTTTTTTTTTTGTAGGATATCCTCAGTACCCTCTTTATATGTCGTTTATAGGAGGGCCCTGCATATACAGCACCTTCTTTTCAGTGTACCACATTTTCATTGGCTTCAAATTGAGCCGAGCTATTGTTCATTATGTTCCACCTACCGGCAAGTCACCAGTGGGTGGAGCAGTGGCTGTCTTCCACTTATATACCTCCATCTTATCTTCTCTCATTCTGTGACTTTTGCATTCTTTCTCACTCTTTGACACTGTCACTCTTACTTCCCTTCCCTCTCTCACTGATGCCTCATTAATTCTTGTAATTTGCCTTGCGAGGTGACTGCACACTTAAGTTTTTATGTGTCACTTAAGTTCATGAGTTTGAGATATTTGCAACTTGCAGGAGCTGCTGGCACTGCTCTTTGACCCCAGAACTATGAAGGATGATGAACTATGGATGGCAGGTAAGTAATACTGTAGTGCTCTACATAATTGCTTACTTGACTGAAGCTCAATTGGATGGCAAATTTGGCAGTTGTTTCTGTAGCTCAGCTTGACTTGAGTTTTGAATGTGAGACACTGGGAGCTTTTGAAATATGTGTGAAAAAATTATATATAGTTATTTGTCTGTAGGACTGAGGCAGTGACTATTTACTAGCACTAAGAAGTATGACTATTTCAGTAACTTGTATGTATACAATCTTGAAGAAATCGAAACTCTCTCTTATGTATAATGATATCTTGTAGGCTTCAAGAAATAGCTAATACACTGTATTAGTTTTTTTATGTACATTTTATACAGGCCAGTTTGATGTATTGAATAAGGCATTGTGCTTATAAACATTGTATTTTTTTTATTCTTTGAAACATTTTATATTTTAATCTTAGAAACATTTTAATTTATTCTTATGAACATCTTTTTTTTATTTTATTTTTTATATATATTTTTACCAACCAGTTTTTGCTCAAAATTTTCATCATCAATTTATATTTACTAATTTGTTGCATTTTTCTCTCTCTGGTATTTATTACCATATTCTCTTACATTATTTTTTGGGCATATATAAATAAATGTAATTTTTTAAAAAATGCAAATTAGTTTATGACACAAGTGGAATTACTTTCATCATTATCTTCCAGGAAAAGAAAACAGTGAAGGCAGCAATAGTAGCAGTCAAGAATCATCGTGTACGCGAGGCTATGGCTCATATGGCACAAAAGGAAAATACCAAGGCTTTGGTAGCTCACCAGTCAGTCAAGGTGAAAATTTGGTGACACAGGTTTGTATTATGCATTTTCTTTTGCTTTTAATTTAGAATGATGCAGAGAGAATTTTTCAGAAGTAGCTTATAGAGTTACACAGCCACCAGTACAGTGTCTTATGCTTGAACAGAATCATTATCTTTTGGGACAGAGGAATTATTCATTTTAGCATGTTAAGAGGTATGTACCTGCATTATCAGTCTGAGTAGCAAAGAATATAAAGACAATACCATGACTGGAACAATACACAAACAACCTGCACATAGGAGAAAGAAACTTATGATGATGTTTTGGTCCAACTTGGACCATTAACTAGTCACACACTATTTAAGGGTCCATGTCAGACCAAAGCATCGTCATAGGTTTCGACAGTGTGTGGGTTATTTGTGTATCTGAGTAGCAAGTTATATGTCTGATGCAGAAGTAGAAAGTATGTTGATAGCAACAATATGGATGAAAAGACACGAGTGCATACACTTAGGACATCCTTATTGGATATATTTTGGTGCTGGGACCTTACAGGAACTATTTTGTGACTGTGTTACAGTGTACCAACTTTCTCATGAAGCTTTGCATAAGTTAATACAAGATAAAAAAAAAGATTTATTCATTGCACTAGTCCTCTCCCACTGAAGCAGTGTGACACAAAAAGAAAGTTTTTCTTTTTGCATGTAGTAACTACAAGATAGTATTGTATCATATTATGAGGGCATTTCAATAAGTAGCAAGACCTTTTGGGCTTGGAAACTAATTATCTGGGTCTGGGCAAGTCTGAATAGAGTGCTGTTACACGTGAGTGCTTCTTATTAAACCAGTGGATCATGCCAAGTGCCCTTGTTATAGGGCTGCTCCTGTTGTAGGGCTGTCAACAGTCCTCCACTTGACAAATGCTCACCATGCCCCTGCCATAGGGCTGTAATTGGTCTGTCGCTAGTACAAACCCCGACACTCCTTCAGGAGTCACTGCCAGGTCACCACATGGAGAAGACCCAGGCCAGGACCCATCCTGGCAGACCTGCCGGAACCTGATCATGCCAAATCATGGAACAGGTGGGATGGAACTCATGGCAAGTGAGTCCTAAAACTCACAGGCCAGTGTGTTATAAGATAATGACAATTTGATTCATCGTAATACCTCACCAGCAGTTTCAAGATGACTGAGTGTACACAAACAGTCAAACATTAAAATGCACAGTATGATCCAGTTGTGCATGTTAAGAATACAGTTTGCTGAAATTCAACACTAAATCTTGGGGGTGTATAGACTTAACTTCATATGAAGGAAATATGCTTGAGCAGGTGTATTTTATTTAGTTATGGCAAGACAAGTAACAACCAGGACACTCAACTATTTTCCTCCATTCATGAATGTTTGAAGCAATGATGTAGCTGTGTTATTGGCTCCACATGGAGCTGTGTAGGCATGCATATGTAAGCTTTTATTAGCTTATTAAAATTCTTTCTTCTTTCATCAAACTGGCCATATCCCACTGAGGAAGGGTGGCCCAAAAAGAAAAACAAAAGTTTCTCGTTTTAACTTTAGTAATGTATAAACGAGAAGAGGTTACTAGCCCCTTTGCTCCCAGCATTTTAGTCGCCTCTTATGACACTCATGGCTAATAGAAGAAGAATTCTGTTCCACTTTCCCATGGAGAACCAACCTACCTACCTAATTAAATGTCCTCATTATTGTACTGTTGGCACATAGTTTAGTGCATGCTGATTTATTTCTTTCTTTCAACGCACCAGCCGTATCCCACTGAGGCGGGGTGGCTCAAAAGGATAAACGAAAGTTCCTCCTTTTAAATTTAGTAATATATACAGAAGGGGTTACTAGCCCCTTGCTCCTGGCACTTTAGTCGCCTCTTACGACATGCATGGCTTATGGAGGAAGAATTCTGTTCCACTTCCCCATGGAGATAAGAGGAAATAAACAAGAACAAGAACTAGAAAGAAAACAGCAGAAAACCCAGAGGGGTGTGTGTATATATATGCTTGCACATATATGTGTAGTGTGACCTAAGTGTAAGTAGAAGTAGCAAGACGTACCTGAAATCTTTCAAGTTTATGAGACAGAAAAAAGGACACCAGCAATCCTACCATCATGTAAAACAATTACAGGCTTCCGTTTTACACTCACTTGGCAAGACAGTATTACCTCCCTGGGCGGTTGCTGTCTACCAACCTACTACCTAGGATGCTGATTTATATACAATAATTATTTGCTTTAGGTACGTGGCATTGTCGAACGTGTGATGTCTCCCTCTGGGGATGCCAAGAGGTTTGGAATGGATTTTCTTCAGGGTGAAAAGGGGGACTACCAGCCCCTCTCTTTGCCATCCCTTGGTTCATCATTATCCTGCCCTTCACAGCTCGCTCAGCAGCCTCATATACCAGTTCTTTCCACTTCACATTCTACTAGATATAAAGGTACAGATGTGTTACCAGTAAGTTGTATTATTGCACAGGAGTGAATGTAGCCATCCATTTATTACCTATGTTTGGTTGTGTTTGTGGTGTCTTTTCTTTACAAATGGAAGTGTCTAAATTTAGATACTTGAATGGATGTATTAGCAGATGAATCCTTGAAGTGAAGAACAAGGTGAATCTCAGTATATGTGTGTTAAGAAATCTTTGGATAAAAACTTTATCAATGGATACAAAACTTAAGAATGTGTCAGTGCTGATGCATTTGTGTGTGTGTGTGTGTGTGTGTGTGTGTATACTCACCTGATTGTGGTTGCAGAGATTGAGTCATAGCTCCTGGCCCTGCCTTGTGTGTGTGTGGGGGGGGGTGTAATTACCTGATAAAGGTAAATATAGTATTTGTAGCTATAGAAGAAAATCTCTGCTTGTTTGGTGTCCTTTGTTTAGTATTTAATCTACATTCACATATTCTGTTTTCTAGTCTTCATTTTTTTTAACCAAGATACAATTATACTCTGTAATATTATAATTTTCTTTAAAACTAAGAATTTGTAGGTCTGATTTTTTCCCCATACTGAGTGCATTCACATAAATAAAAGTTAATAGAAGAGCTTAGAGTTTGCTTTCTTGGCCCCACCTGCCACGTTACAATGCAATTCATTCCTACTTTGTAATTTTTTCTGATGGGAAATTATCATGTGATTGTCAGTATCTTATTATATAAGGTACTTTTATTACAAAAGATTAATATTAAAGTGTTGGATTTTCACTTTTATTGCTTTTAAACCATACCCCGGCCGGGATTGAACCCGCGGTCAGAGAGTCTCAAAACTCCAGACCGTCGCGTTAGCCACTAGTGGCTAACGCGACGGTCTGGAGTTTTGAGACTCTCTGACCGCGGGTTCAATCCCAGCTGGGGTATGGTTTGTTTGCAATCGTGTCATTACGATTTCGTGAGTCAGTTTTATTGCTTTTGTTTCAGCACACAGGACAGGTCGACCAGGAGGAGGATGGGAAAGCGACGAAGAAACCCAGGAAGCCTCTTCTCTAAATTCTGAAACTGACCTTTCTCTTGGACTAGCAGACCAGCAGCAAGGTGAAGAGCAAATACCAGGAATAGTTGAGGAAGAATTTCTCAGCAATATTTTTGATGCAAAAATGTCATGGCCTGTGGATCATGATAGGCTCGTGGAGCTTTGTCAGAAATGTGCAGCATTGGATCTTGCAGTATTATTAGAGAAGATTAATGGGAAAATTGTATTTCTGAATGATAGTACTACCCAATTAGAAGGTTCTGAAGTTAGTCATTCTGGTGCATCCCAGATGATTAGTAACACCGAAAACAAACTTGAAACGGGCATTTCTTCAAAGGAAGTCTTGACTAACAATGCTGTATTACCCTCAGATACAGTGAGTGTTGCAACAACAAGGATGCTCATACTTCTTCTCCTTGTGGAATTTGGCATTCATTATGATGTATTCTCTCCAAATTTAGTAAATTCTGCTTTAGGGAAAACTTTTCAAAGGCTTACTGAAAATCTAAGTTTGAAACAAATGGTTCGAACAAAGGCAAAGAAGCTGTCACTGATTTCTTGTAAATTTATGTGAATAAATTTAGAGAACACATTATTACTGCTTTACCCATGGCTGGACAGATGACTGATGGACACTTGGGTGACAGACATTTGACCTAAGGACAATTGGCCAAAGGGACATTTCACCGAACAGATTATTAGGTTAGGTTAGGGTTATTTTATGGTCTTTTTAATGTTAAAAAAATTATTGATTTTTCTCATCTTTCTGAGCTTGTTTTGCTGTTGGAAGTAGTAATCAAGAAGGTAGTAATACAAAATCTTCATAAAAAGAGGACAGAACACTACAGGTTTGGTATTTCTCAGAGTACAATAATAATATAGAGATCATATTACTACAATAGCCAAAGGAATTGCCATTTTCATAATGAATAAATCAGACTTTGAAGAATGAGACACTTCTGCAACATTTTTGAATCTTTATTAAGGAAAGATTGATGAACTGAACACATTGATTCCAGGGACTGATTACCTCAAACTCCTCTATTTCCACCGTTCTTCTTTGTATTAGACTGATGAAGCCACTATGTGGCAAAACGTTTCCTCAATAAAGGTTCCAAAATGTTGGACAAGTGTCTTATTCTTTAACTTATCAGTTTCTAAACCACTTATCACAAATCATATTTTAATGATAAAACCTCATTGAGCACATGAGGTCGCTCTCCCACACCTTCCTGAATGCCACCTCTCCCTTTACCATAAGTTTACTTAGCAGTATTTAGTGTTAAGCGAACTTTTCAGTGTTTGTAATTACCTCTAGATTTAGCTGAATCTAATGATACTAGACTTTTATTTATTTAACGAATTATTTTATCATTTAATATCAGTAATACATATGAATATTTCCAGTGTATTCTTATTTTCCCATTAAAGCTCTCACTGTTTTTAACAGTAAGTGTGTGTTTTTGAGCCTACTGTCCCTTGTATAACCATACACACGTCACACCAGGTGTGTAACATTGGTAATAAGCAGTACTGAATGATCATCACTGGTTTAGTGCCATACCCTGCAAGGGAAGTGCCTGGATGCTGGTAAAGGACTATTGATCCAAGGACCTGGAACTATTCTCCCTTTTCATGGATTGAATCTGATTGCCTGCCATTTTTGTATGGGTTTAGTGCTCCTCTGATGAAACACTAAATAAATTTAATGGTATACAAGAATAATGGATAAATATTATTACAAGAGAACGACAATTGTATCCCAGCTGAGATATAATGGTAATGAGAGTTGGAAAGTCAGCAACAGTTTTTGAGTGGAGTGCTTTGATAATGGTGAATAATATTTGATATAAGAACCTGGAGCTATCCCTACTCTTCCTGGAATCAAATGTATAGGCAGGCCCTGCTTATACAGCAGGTTAGGTTCTGAGCTACTGTAGGGCCCTGCTTATACAGCAGGTTAGGTTCTGAGCCCCTCATGGAAGGTTCCTTGATGTTGGTGAGGGGCTCTTGATTCAGGGAATTGGATCTGTGCTCCAGTTCCCCGAATTAAGCCTGAATGCCTTCCACATCCCCCTCCCCTGGGCGCTGTATAATCCTACGGGTTTAGCGCTTCCCCCTTGATTATAATAATAATAATAATAGGTTCTGAGCTACTGTAGGGCCCTGCTTATACAGCAGGTTAGGTTCTGAGCTACTGTAGGGCCCTGCTTATACAGCAGGTTAGGTTCTGGGCAACTGTAGGGCCCTGCTTATATAGCAGGTTAGGTTCTGAGCTACTGTAGGGCCCTGCTTATACAGCAGGTTAGGTTCTGGGCAACTGTAGGGCCCTGCTTATACAGCAGGTTAGGTTCTGGGCAACTGTAGGGCCCTGCTTATATAGCAGGTTAGGTTCTGAGCTACTGTAGGGCCCTGCTTATACAGCAGGTTAGGTTCTGGGCAAATGTAGGGCCCTGCTTATACAGCAGGTTAGATTCTGGGCAACTGTAGGGCCCTGCTTATACAGCAGGTTAGGTTCTGGGCAACTGTAGGGCCCTGCTTATACAGCAGGTTAGGTTCTGGGCAACTGTAGGGCCCTGCTTATACAGCAGGTTAGGTTCTGGGCAAATGTAGGGCCCTGCTTATACAGCAGGTTAGATTCTGGGCAACTGTAGGGCCCTGCTTATACAGCAGGTTAGGTTCTGGGCAACTGTAGGGCCCTGCTTATACAGCAGGTTGGTTCTGGGCAACTGTAGGGCCCTGCTTATACAGCAGGTTAGGTTCTGGGCAACTGTAGGGCCCTGCTTATACAGCAGGTTAGGTTCTGGGCAACTGTAGGGCCCTGCTTATACAGCAGGTTAGGTTCTGGGCAACTGTAGGGCCCTGCTTATATAGCAGGTTAGGTTCTGGGCATCTGTAGGGCCCTGCTTATATAGCAGGTTAGGTTCTGAGATACTGTAGGGCCCTGCTTATATAGCAGGTTAGGTTCTGAGCTACTGTAGGGCCCTGCTTATACAGCAGGTTAGGTTCTGGGCAAATGTAGGGCCCTGCTTATACAGCAGGTTAGATTCTGGGCAACTGTAGGGCCCTGTTTATACAGCAGGTTAGGTTCTGGGCAACTGTAGGGCCCTGCTTATACAGCAGGTTAGGTTCTGGGCAACTGTAGGGCCCTGCTTATACAGCAGGTTAGGTTTCTGGGCAATGTAGGGCCCTGCTTATACAGAAGGTTAGATTCTGGGCAACTGTAGGGCCCTGCTTATACAGCAGGTTAGGTTCTGGGCAACTGTAGGGCCCTGCTTATACAGCAGGTTAGGTTCTGGGCAACTGTAGGGCCCTGCTTATACAGCAGGTTAGGTTCTGGGCAACTGTAGGGCCCTGCTTATACAGCAGGTTAGGTTCTGGGCAACTGTAGGGCCCTGCTTATACAGCAGGTTAGGTTCTGGGCAACTGTAGGGCCCTGCTTATATAGCAGGTTAGGTTCTGGGCATCTGTAGGGCCCTGCTTATACAGCAGGTTAGGTTCTGGGCAACTGTAGGGCCCTGCTTATATAGCAGGTTAGGTTCTGGGCATCTGTAGGGCCCTGCTTATACAGCAGGTTAGGTTCTGGGCAACTGTAGGGCCCTGCTTATATAGCAGGTTAAGTTCTGGGCATCTGTAGGGCCCTGCTTATACAGCAGGTTAGGTTCTGGGCTGCTGTAGGGCCCTGCTTATACAGCAGGTTAGGTTCTGGGCTGCTGTAGGGCCCTGCTTATACAGCAGGTTAGGTTCCTGGCTACTGCTGTAAAGCAAAAATTGCTGGAAAGTGATTCGTAGCCTTTTTTTCACATTTAAATGCATATAAAAGCCTAATAACATATTTACACTATGATATATTAAGTGAGCAATGGAGCTAGGTCTGAAAAATGCATATACAGTACACACATTACTTACCTTAAAATGTTTTTGTCCTAAGCTTATAGTGAGTGGTGAATATATTTATAGTAGGAAGTCTGAATAAATGAAGAATGGGTATAAATGAAAACTGCTGAATTAGCGAAACGCCATAAAGCGGGACCTGCCTGTAATTGCCTCCAGGTGCTGTACCTTTGAGGTCAAAAATAATCAAACCTTCCTGGTCTACCTCGCTAGGCAGTACACAAAGGTTTCTACTTGTCAACATCTCGAGAGGTTCCTAGATGTCAGTGAGGGGTTCTTGATCTAAGGAATTGGACTTGTCTTTCCTTAGATTGAAAATGATTGCCTGCTATTTTCCTAGGCATTTGACCCCTGTGGGTTTAGCACCTCCTGCCAAATAAACAGATTAATAATAAATAGGGTAATCATAACTGTTCAGAGGACTGACAATGTGAAGCCCAAGGGAAATCTGTGCCATAACCAGAGATGCAGGAAATCTGTGCCATAACCAGAGATGCAGGAAATCTGTGCCATAACCAGAGATGCAGGAAATCTGTGCCATAACCAGAGATGCAGGAAATCTGTGCCATAACCAGAGATGCAGGAAATCTGTGCCATAACCAGAGATGCAGGAAATCTGTGCCATAACCAGAGATGCAGGAAATCTGTGCCATAACCAGAGATGCAGGAAAGCTAAAGTAAACAAGCCAGGAAAAATGTAGGGTATAAATGGCAAAGAAAAAAAAAGAAAATGCACAGCAAAACTAAGAACTATGTATCCACACAAAAAAATCACAGTGTATAGATGATCTGTATGTATAAGAGTTTACTCTAAAGAATAAAGTCACTATACCGTGACTGGAACAATACAAAGTGGTGTGAGGCCTGGTTGGCAACGCTCTCGCCTCTCACACTGTGTCAGTAAGTTTATTGAGGTATACACAAATACAGTTACATAGAATTATCATACATAGCAGCATATGTGTAGAGAACCTGGGATAACCCAAAAAAGTCAGACAGTGACTTATTTCCATTGGGGTCCATGGTTCAATACCCGGTACGGGTGGAAACAATTGACATGTTTCCTTACACCTGCTGTCCCTGTTCACCTAGCAGTAAGTATGTACCTGGGTGTTAGTGGACTGGTGTGGGTGGCATCCTGGGGGACAAGATTTTAGGACCACAATGGAAATAAGACAGTTCTGGACAATGCACTGATAGCCTGTGTGTCTATCCCTCTGGAGTTTAAAATCCGAGGGGAAGTAATAACAAGGTTCTCCCCTCTGACTTAAACCATTGATAAGTTCCACTTAAACCAGCATCAAGGTCAGTACAAAAGATATATACATGGCAACTACTGGACGGCTACAATATATAAGATAGACAGGAAGGCCTACATCTAATTTCAGATTCACTGAACTGTATGTGTAAAGTGCTGAATGACTCTTACGGGTTTACCTCGCTTTAATAATAATAATAATAATAATAATAATAATAATAATAATAATAATATTATTATATTAATAATAATGGTGATAATAATAACAAAAATAAAAATAATAATAATAATAATAATAATATATACTATTATTATTATTATTATTATTATTATTATATTAATAATAATGATAATAATAACAAAAAATAATAATAAATAATAATAATAATAATAATAATAATAATAAAAATAATAATAATAATAATAATAAATAATAATAATAATAATAATAATAATAAAAATAATAATAATAATAATAATAATAATAATAATAATAATATAATAAAAATAATAATAATAATAATAATAATAACAATAATAAAAAATAATAATAATAATAATAATAATAATAATAACAATACTAATAATAATAATAATAATAATAATATAATAATAATATTATTATATTAATAATAATGGTGATAATAATAACAAAAATAAAAACAATAATAATAATAATAATAATAATAATAATAATAATAATAATAATAATAACAATAATAATAATAATAATAATAATAATAATAATAATAATATATAATAATGATAAACAATAATAATAATAATAATAATAATAATAATAATAATATTATTATTATATTAATAATAATGGTGATAATAATAACAAAATAAAAACAATAATAATAATATATAATAAAATAATAATAATAATAATAACAATAATAATAATAATAATATATAATAATAATAATAATAATAATATAATAATAATAATAATATTAACAATAATAAAAAAATTGCCACACTAAGAATTCCATTTCTTAAAGAAAGTAACCATTGTGAAAGAAAAAAAAATATTATTAAATATTGACTAGGTGAGTGTAATGGAAAATTCACCTCTATGAGCCAGAGTGAACAACTTTCTAAAAAATCATGCGAATCAATTTGACAAATATTCCACAAAAAAAAATGACCAAACATTGCTATCTGAGCGAAAATCTTTGAGTCATGTTTTAAATTTCACTAATTTCATCAGATTTAATTTTCCTTCAAATGCTTCAGGATTTTTCTCCATTTTTTTGCATATTTCTTGTATATTTGAAAGTTGTTTTGGTGT